GGTGACAGGCAGGGACTGGCTCTGTGTGGCCAACGCTGCCGCAGGGAGTTCTCCCCCAGAATGAACACTGGGACAGGGACCAGCGCAGCGAGGAGCTGGGTGAAACCCCCGAGGAGGAAGTAAAGCTCCAAAACCTGGCAGAGCCGAAACCGGTGTGGCTCAGTGGATAGAGCGTCGGTCTGCGGACTGAAAGGTCCCTTGGTTGCGGGCACATCCCCAGTGGGGGGTGTGCAGGAGGCAGCTGGTCGATGTTTCTCTCTCATCAATGTTTCTAGCTCTCTATCCCTCTCCCTTCCTCTCTGTAAAAAAACAAAACAAAACAACAATCACCAAAAAACAAAAAACAAACAAACAAACAAAAAAACCTGGCAGAACCGAGAAGAAATGAGCTGTCAAGCCAAGCGCAGACTTGAGGAAACCTTCAATGCATGTTGCGAAGAGGGAGCCAATGGGAAACGTCTCCCTTTCGTGTGACTCCCACTCTGTGACATTCTGGAAAAGACAGAACTGCGGAGGCAGAAAGGATCAGTGGCTGCCAGGGTTTGGGGAGGGAGGGAGGGATGAACGGGGGGAGCACGGAGGAAGTTTAGGGCAGAGAAGTGTCCCTGGGACCCGGGACCATGTTAGCTCATGTAGGAAAAGCCACTCTGCAGGTGCGATGACATTGTGACTGCTGAGATGGGGGGTATCTGGGTGGACCCCACGTAATCACAAAGGTCTTTTTAAGGGGGAAGCAGGAGGGTGAGAGTCAGAGGAGAAGCTGTGATGGTAGAAGCGGAGGTCAGCTTGACACACTTAAACAAGAAGTTTAAACACACACACACATACACACACACACACTGAGTGGCCAGGTTATGATGATCTCTGGACGCACAATAATCTGGCCACTCCGTGTACTTCTCTTGAGCACCTCATTTATTTGATATCAAAGATACTATAAAGTGTGCACCTGATCAGTTTCCCCCTTTGCACTGGCTGAGGGTAAGCTCAGGGCAAATAGGGGGCTGATCTCCAGTAAAAAAATCTAGACTATGTTTGGTACCCATTTGAGATACAAATACACTGCGTGGCCAGATTATTATGCTTTCAGAGATCATCATAATCCGGCCACTCAGTGCATATATTTATTGATGTCAGAGAGGAAAGGAGAAACAGTGAGAGAGAGAGAGAGAGAAACATCAATGATGAGAGAGAACCATTGGTCGGCTGCCTTCTGCAGGGCCCACACTGGGGATCAGGCCTGCCACTCAGTCATATGCCCTGACCGGGAATTGAACCCTTGACCTCCTGGTTCATAGGTCGATGCTCAAACAGGATTGAAGTGTCCCTGGACTCGGACCAGCAGGGAGGCTAATTGGATACAAACTTCCAAGAAATGGCACAAACTCACCCATTTGATCCTAAATACTTGAAACTAGGCCTCTTGAGAGTGGCATGCAAATTTATGCAAATCGCATGCAAATAAGCGCCAGAGCCAAGTGGCCTGGCCCAGCTCCCTTTCCCAGGGCAGCGCCCCTGATCCTGTTACATTTCTGTCTGGGGCCCTGGGCCTCGGGCGCCGTGGTGTTGGCCAAACACGGTCGGGGTGGGCAGCGGAAGGAAGAGCTGTTTCAGCGTCAACAGCCGTGACGACAACAAAATTCCTTTGGCGCATTGGCAGGCTGTTCACACACTGCTCGCTCTTCCTGCCAGGTTTGGAGGCCTCCTAATCACTCTTCTTGGAAGGAAGAGGTTAGGAAGAGACGCCCTAGCTGGCTTGGCTCAGTGGATAGAGCGTCGGCCTGCGGACTGGGAGGTCCCGGGTTCGATTCCAGCCAGGGGCACAGGCCTGGGTTGCAGGCTCGATCCCCAGTGGGGGGGGTGCAGGAGGCAGCCGATCGATGATTCTCTCTCATCATTGATGTTTCTCTCTCTCTCTCTCTCTCTCTCTCTCTCCTTCTGCCTCCCTCTCTGAAATCAATAAAGAAATATATATTTTTAAAAAAAAGTTGGTTAGGAAGAGATTTGTCAGGGCCCGGGTCCCGAGATGATCACTGTGGGCTGCCCTGGGCCTGGGCTGAGATCTGGGCCCCCTGGGCAAAGGCGGGGAGGAGGGCATGGAGCCCGTGGTCACCACAGATGCTGGCTCGAAGGGGTCCTTAGCTTCCCAGGTGTCTGTCCAGAGGGTGGCGGGGTCCGGGCGGGAGCTGTGGCCTCATGTGGAGGGGCAGAAACGGTGCCAAGCCACAGCCCGGCAAGAAGGGGGGGTGAGGCACCCCCGCCGTCTCCCGCTGGGGCCTCCTTCCGGCCTGGCCACGCTGGAAGCCAGAGGGCCGGGAGACGGCAGGTGGAGGAGGCGGGAGAGGGATCGGAGGGCTGGAGGGAGACTTCCCAGCACAGCTCGCCTCTGTGCAGAAGGAGCGTGGCCCTCCAGGCAGGAGGGGGAAGCCTGGCCAGGTCCCTCCATTTCCACAAATCACTGTCCCTGTGGCCGTCCGCACGTGGGCCCTCCGGGCGGCAGGGAGCCGTTGCTAATGAGCAGCTCGGGTCAGCCGGGGCCCAGGTCCTCCGCCTACGTGTTCTCCGGCCGTTCAGTGCTGCTGGGAGAGGCATTGGTGGGAGATTCACGGACGCGCCTTCAAAATCAGGACCACATTGTCTTGGCTGGGCTCCCCCTCAAAACGCTCTCACCGGGCCCCCATCCCCGCCCCCTGTCTGCCAGGCTGTTTGTGTGCATGCTCTCCCCGAGGTCAAGGATGTGCAGGAAAAGCTTTTTATTTCTTATTAAGTTAATAAATCTTTACTGTTCAGATTATTACAATTGTTTCTCCTTTTTCCCCTCCTAGCTCCCCTCCACCCGGTTCCCACCCCCCGCCCCCCTCTGCCCTTACCCCCCTCTGTCCTCATCCATAGGTGTACGATTTTAGTCCAGTCTCTTCCTGCACCCCCCACACCCCGTTCCCCCTGAGAGTTATCAGTCCCTCCCTTTCTATGCCCCTGATTCTATTCTAATCAATAGTTTATTCTGTCCTTCAGATTTTTTAATTCACTTGATGTTTAGGTTCACTTGTTGACAGGTATGTATTTGTTGTTCATAATTTTTATCTTCACTTGAAAAGCTTTTTAGATGTGAGCGATGAGGATGGTTGGTTTCTTGGAGGTACCCGTCTGCTCTTTCTTTCTTTTCTTTCTTTTTTTTCTTCTTCTTTTTCTTTTTTTTTTTTAAAATATATTTTAATGATTTTTTTACAGAGAGGAAAGGTGAGAGATAGAGAGCTAGAAACGTCAATGAGAGAGCAACATTGACCAGCTGCCTCTTGCACACCCCCCACCGGGGATGTGCCCGCAACCAATGTACATGCCCCTGACCGGAATCAAACCTGGGACCCTTCAGTCCGCAGGCGGACACTCTACCCACTGAGCCAAACCGGTTTCGGCCGTATATTCTTTCTTGAGACCCACCGCACTGCCTTCTCTCTCCCCCGTAGCATCTGGGCAGCTCAGACCCAACATGTCACGTTTTATGAAGCCAGGGATGTGATGTGGTACCCAAAAAAGCCATTTCTGTAGCAATGACTCAACTTTGCCCTTGTCAGTGCGAACGTACACAGGAGCAGTATAGATAAGAACGAATGTGTCCGTGTGCCAATAAAACTTTACGGAAGCTGGAATTTGAATATCATCTTTACATGTCACAAAATGTTCTTCTTTTGATCCCCCCCCCCGCCCCCCAGCTATTTAAAAAGTGTATGAAAAGTGTTCGTAGCTCACAGAGAGAGTACAAAATGGGTTTCAGGCTGGCTCTGGCCTCAGGCCTATAGTTTGCTGACCCTGGTAAAGACTGCGGGGGGGTGGGGGGGGGCGCGGGGGGGGGAGGGGGGGAGCCCCAGGGAGTCGGATGTAAATTCAATACAGGAAGACAGTGATTCATTAGAGGCAGCAGGGAATGGAGCCGGCATCGCCAGTGAGTGACAAGTTCCTTGTTACCGAAGGCCCCAAGTTCAGGCCGGATAATTAACTCCCTCGCAAGGGGTGATAGGGAAACGTGTCTGTCCAACACACGCGATTCTGGAGTTTTCTCCTGACCCCGCAGGAGTATTGAGACCAGGATGACACGTGGCTGCTTTACAATGAGACCTGCTCTGCCTGGCGGGCGTGGCTCAGTGGTTGAGCATCGACCTACGAACCAGGAGGTCCGGGTTCGATTCCCGGTCAGGGCGCATGCCTGGGTTGTGGGCTCGATCCCCCGGTGGAGGAGGCAGCCGATTCAGGATTCTCATCGTGGATGTTTCTATCTCTCTCCCTTCCTGTCCGAAATCGATAAGTATATTTTTAAAATAAAAGTATACCTGCTTCATAGAGGGAAGTACGTTGCTCTTACTCACGTGGGACTTACCAGTACTCCCAACCCCTTGTTGCTGGAACAAGGACATGTGGGTGGTGTGCTGGCTTCATTGCTTAGGCTCCTACACCCCCCCTCCCCCCAGGCAGAGACATCCATCAGCTGCCTCCTGCACACCCCCTACAGGGGATGTGCCCACAACCAAGGTACATGCCCTTGACCGGAATCGAACCCGGGACCTTTCAGTCCGCAGGCTGAGGCTCTATCCGCTGAGCCACACCGGTTTCGGCGAGGTGACACGTGTTTATTGCCGTGTGGTTGCCACTGTCGCGTTCGCTCACACCTCTGTTCCATCCCATCATTATCCTCCCTCCTGGCGCTGGGAACCATTCAGATCTCCTCTCTTCATGGCGATTGTAACAGCTTTGTTGTCTGGAGCCACTGCACTGGGGACGCGATGTCCGGGGCTCGTTTATCTCCCAGTCGCCACGGTGAGCCCTTCAACAAGATCCCCGCCATTTCCGGTTTTGGGGTCGCAGCTTCCACAGCGACCGGCTTCTCCCCTTGACACCCGCTCCCTGCCTCCTCTTATTCCTGGAAGCAAATCCCCAGGAAGCTTCTGACACGTCGAAGTGACTCGCCTTGCACTCACGCCTCGATTCTGCGTGTCTCTTTTCAGATCATCGCCTTCGATGAGCTGAGGACGGATTTTAAGAGCCCCATAGACCAGGGCAACCCCGGGCACGCGGTAAGCAGAGGGCGCTGGAGGCGGGGCAGGGCGCCACCAGGGGCCGGGCAACGAGGGCGAGGTTCCGACGGCGCGAAGGATGGGTAGAGAGCATTCCCGGCTCTGACTGCACCTCCACGCCTGGCGCCAGGCTGCTGAGGGCACTTGTTCTCCAGGCCTGCTGAGGTCTTGATTTCTCTTGCAAGTCAAGTACAGCAGCCCCAGTGGCCCAGGTGGGAAATGCCTGCGGGGCTGTGGCTGTTGAGTCCTCCAGGCCTGGTAGAATGAGGGAGGAAGGGGGGTGGGGAGGAGAGGAGGGCATAGAGGGAAGTGGGGAGCTCCGTGGTATCCCCGTGTTGGGCAAGTATAGGAGCATATAGTGGTCGCCCCGCTCTGATAGGGTAGGCTGATGTCCAAGCTCCTAGCCCCGTGGTCGGCAAACTCATTAGTCCACAGAGCCAAATATCAACAGCATTAGGAAGGTTGAGAACCACTGGTGTAGACAGACAAAGCCAACGGGCCTCACACCAATCAGGGCACGCGTGCTCTCTGATGCTCGCCTGGGAAGTCCCCCGGGGGCCGGCTGCAGGCTCTGGGACAGCCCAATGGCACGTGGTGCCGGTCAGCAGGCTGGCTGACCATCACAGGTGCCCGGAGGTGGAGCCAGACCCCCTTCTGGGGGCTGAGCCCACGCTGGCGGCTGCTACAGTTCTTTATTTTTCTTTTCAAAAATATATTTTACTGATTTTGTACAGAGAGGGAGAGAGAGGGGTAGAGAGCTAGAAACATCGATGACGGAGAGAATCATCCATCAGCTGCCTCCTGCACCCCCCCTACTGGGGATGTGCCTGCAACCAAGGTCCATGCCCTTGACTGGAATCGAACCTGGGACCTTTCAGTCCGCAGGCTGACGCTCTATCCACTGAGCCACACCGGTCTCGGCACTGACACAGTTCTTCTAAGAGCAGATGCCCGTGGATGGGGAAACTCATCTGGAAAAGCTGCCAGGGGAGGCTGCACACCGTCTGGCCGGGCAGGGCCTCGGCCGGATGCTGCCTCCTCTCCTGAGGTCCACTGCAGGGTCTTCCCTTGCTCTAACCCGCTCTCCTTTCTCTCTCTCTCTCTCTCTCTCTCTCTCTCTCTCTCTCTCTCTCTCTCTCTCTCGTCCCGATAGAGGGAACGTCTGAGGAACATCGAGCGCATCTGCTTCCTCCTGCGGAAGGTCAGTGCCAGAGCCGCGGTCAGGGGTGGTCACGGAGGAGGGGCTGGGGCCTGCTCCGGTCCTGTCTCCCCTGGGGGGTGGGGGGGACGGGGAGCCAGCGATGGGTTCTTTGGACACCCCCAGAGGCGAGGAGCTAATTGGAAGGGGTGGCGGTCAACCCCAGTGGCAGGATGGCGCTGGATAACTGAAGGGCCTGTGGTCGGACTCAGCTTCTTTATCTTTTCCTGACAACAGCAGGCGCGCAGCATCCTTTGTTCCCGCCTGGTGCTGGGCTCAGGGACCTTTGTGCCCGGATGATGGGCTTGCTCTGAGTTTCCAGCTCTGCCGTCTGATTGGCAGCCTCATTGGGAGTGTCGGGGGCGTGGGAGACGGGGTGTCATTCAAGGGGGAACCGGGCATTCAGAGAGCTGCCCTGAACGGAGGGGCTGAGGGTCACGGCTGCCCTGAACACATGCAGCAAGCACACGTGTGCACGCAGATTCATGTGTGTGCGCGCGCGCGCAGCTCGAAGCCTGGCATTACGCACCGCTCTGTGGCACAGCGGGGGGCCAGAGCGACCAGCCTGCCACTCTCGGGCAGGAAGTGTGTGCGTTTTCGGTGGTGTTGTTTTTTTTTTGTTTGTTTTGTTTTTTGCAGCGAAGTATGGCGAACAGGTGCTTGCAGGTAAAATAGGCAGAGTCTCTGGCCGTGAGCCAGAGGACTCCCCTGACCTCCATCCGGGGCAGATGGATGAATGCAAAAGGGGGTTCTGAGCCTCGTGGGAGGAGGCGGGACCGCCGTGGCCAGGCCAGTCCCCGGGGAAGAGAGAGGTTGTTCTTGCGAGCTCTCGGAGCCTGTTCTGTGTCTCACGGCTGATGTCTGTCACTGGGAGAGAGGACTTCATGGAGAAGTCGCTGCGCCTTCTGCACGTGGCATTCAGGGCAACGCCGGGGTCTGTGAATGATACTCTCAGATGGCACCCTGGGCACCGGTCACCCACTCCAGCTGTCGCCTCCGGGGTCCCTGGTTCTTGGGTTCTAAGTGCCTTTTACCCTTCAGGGGCTCTCTCCCCCACCCCCACCCCCCCAGCGGAGCGGGCCCGCCAGGATTCTGTGCCGAGCGCCTTCCCACTACCTTTCCGCCTTGTTCGTCCTTCTCTACGGCTTAACCATCGACACCGGCCAGACAGGAGGCCATGCATGGCCTGTGGCCGCCTCTGCCAAGGTCCTGCTGTCCACGGCCTTGGGCCTTCCAGAGTCCAAGCCGAGGGTATCCAAGCATGCAGGCCCAGGGGGAGTTCGCATTATCATCTGCAAATCTGCATATCGTTTGCATACGTTTTTATAAAGACTAGACTGGAGGCGTTTGACGGCAGGAAACAGTGCGGCGAGTCCCCTTTCCTGCCTTCTTTCTGCCGTTGGCATTTCCCCCGGCTCCTTCTCCCGGGGCCGCTGCCTCTGCGGCTGCTGTTCGTCGTCGTCGTGGGAGATGCAGCGAGGAAAGCTCGAGGTCGAGAAAGCCCTAATGTCAAAATTTTAGGTCTTTAAAATAACTTTTTTTTATAATTGATTTCAGAGAGAGGAAGGGAGAAGGAGAAAGAGAGAAACATCAATGATGAGAGAGAATCATCGATCGGCTGCCTCCTGCACGTCCCCCACCTGGGGATCGAACCTGCAACCTGGGCATATGCCCCAACTGGGGACTTGATCCGTGACCTCCTGGTTCCTAGGTTAATGCTCAACCACAAAGCCATAGCCGCCTGCTCATACTTTAGGCCTTACCGCTGTGCCCGGTCACACATGCGGCAGCCTGTGGGATTACCCCTCCCGGCTCTTTCAGCCCAGGTGAGCTTCTAGCTCAGATTCCCAGCGGTGAGCGCCTGTGGGGGATTCTGGGAAGGGTTAACGGGCCTTGTTCGCATCCTTACCTTCTGGGAAGCGTTATCTTCCAAGGAATTTATCAGAATCCGACTCCCAGACTCCCCGGGGTGTGATGCATCTCGGTGGTTGACTGCCACTGCACCACCTCCTCAGCTTCCTCCTGAGCAAGCTGGGGGGGGGGGGGGTTGCACAGTGGCTCCATTTTTAGCTCCGTTGGTATCAGAAGACGCGTCCTTGGGGTGAATCGTCTGAACTGCAGGTTCCTTGCGTCGCCTGCTGCTGATTCATGTTTTCGCGGCAACAGCCAGGCCCCTCGCTTTTGCGCTGCTCTTTTCGCGAGCTTGTCTCGGGCTCTGCGGTCGCTGCCACGTGCAGGCTGGAGGGCAGGAAGCAGGCGGAAAGCAGAGGGCGTTTGACGCGGCTTTTGGGCCGAATCAGGGTCCCCAAGAGGAGGAGACTGACGAGGGGCCCCCTGAGGCGTCGCCGAGCTCAGGGAAAGGTTTAGAGGAAATGAATGTAAGCATCCCCCGCAGGCCGCACCCTGCGACTCGAATGAGCAGCGAGGCTGCAAACCCCTGCGCCAGAGGCTAAGCCAGGCTCCAGCCAAGCAGGTGGGAGGCCCTCTCCCTGTCTCGGTCCTCTGGGCTCTGCTTTAGAGCGTCGTCATTCTCTAAGCGACACCAGAGGAGAGGCAGTTGCTGGCTAACGGGTGCCCAAGCGGACCGACCCAAAGGAGTGAGGCCTAACTTCCTGCCTGCTGGCAGGCGGCCGGCCCAGCGGGTGGCTTGATGCAGGGAGTCCTCGGACAGCTTGATTTTCTTACTTTTTAAAAAACATATATATATTTTATTGATTTTTTTTTTTTGCAGAGAAGAAGGGAGAGGGATAGAGAGCTAGAAGCATCAATGAGAGAGAGTGTCATCGACCAGCTGCCTCTTGCACACCCCCTACTGGGGATGTGCCCGCAACCAAGGTACATGCCCTTGACCGGAATCGAACCCGGGACCCCTCAGTCCGCATGCCGACACTCTATCCACTGAGCCACACCGGTTTTGGCCAGCTTGTTTTTCTTGATGGGAGATTTGCTCCAGAGGCTCCCTTTTCCAGAATGGGATGGAAAAAAAAAACACAAAAAAAACACACCTGCTTTTCTGCCTCTGAGTCCTCACCATTTTTGCCTTTTCCCTATCGCTGACGAAGCAAGAACCCTTTCCGGGTTAAGTTTCTAGGCCACGGAATGTGCCCATGTTCCCAAACCCTAACAGCCCCTTGTTCCCGGCAGTGTGACCCGGTCCCTGCCTCTCCCAGGAGTTTGTACCCGGGCGCCGGCCTGTGCCTTGGCGGGGCCCACAGGGCGATGAGCAGCTGGTGCTCCCGCTGGCTCCGTTTGCCCCCTGCCCGCGATGTGTTCTTCTGGAAGCCATTCGGGGCACTGCCGCCCCCCCACCCCCTGCCACCTGGGGTGATTGCTGATGATAAAAAAAACCCAGCTGAGTGAGGGCCTAGGCGGGGCTCTCCGTCGCGGGAAGGCTTGCTAAACCCTCGCCCTTCTCATTCTAGAACATTCCCCCCTCCCGTCAGGGTCTCTCCTCTCAGATAACCGCCTCTGCCCGATCGCTCCCCGTATACGTACTCCAGACGCGGCTCCCACCCCCGCACCCCCGGCTCAAAGGGAAGGGAAGGAGTGGGCAGCTGCCTGTGTTCACGTAAGATGCCTCTGCATCGCCAGCCAGGCGTGGGAGGATCGCATCATCCCTTTCAAAACGCAGCACGATCCGAGAGGCTTTTGTTCCCAGCCCCTCCCCGCGTGGGCCGGCGGGCGGCTCGGCCGTGTGACCAGGGGGCGAGGACACGGGCGGAGAGGCGTGGGGGACCCAAGCGTGTCCGAAGCCACAGGAAGAACGACGCTCGCCCTGGCCGGTGTGGCTCAGTGGATAGAGCGCCGGCCTGCGGACTCAGGGTCCCAGGTTCGATTCTGGTCAAGGGCACGTGCCTTGGCCAGGGGCACCCCTCTGGCCTCAGGCCGAGGGCACCAGGCAGGCCTGCCTTCCCTTCCCTCCTGGGGAAACGGATCCGTGACGGGTCCCCCGGGTCCGGCCCAGCCCCCGGGGACCAGCCAGGAGGGGCCGACCTCGACGGGGACAAGGTCAGGGCTGCACGTGGCGGTGGCATTCGGGGGAGCGGTGGGCAGGGCGGGGCCGGGAGCCCGTACTACCGGCTCTCGACGGGCGCATGTCACGGTGACTTTTCAAATATTTCACTCTGGACTCGGCGGTTCTTCGTTCGGCTGCTTAGGCATAGCGTCACCTGCTCAGCCCGTAAAAGCGTCTGCTGAGCTCCGGGGTGACGTCCAGGAGGTCGCACACGCTGATGTGCCAGCGCCATCCAGTGGGCAGCGCTCCCGGGAGCCACCCCCCCCCCCCCCCCAGTCCTGGCTGTGGGGGAACCCCAGCACAAAGGGGGGTCCAAGGCCTTCTGGGCCGCCCTCCCCACCCCGTCTGACTGCTGGGGGGCGGGGGGAGGCTGTGCTCAGAGCAATTAAAGAGGAAGTGACCTTCCAGCAAAGGGACTGAGTCAGGGCTCCTGACCGCGCCGGGGTCCCTGTGTCCAGTGTAGAGAAATCCCAGCTCCCCAAGTTCGCCATCCACCCCCCCCCCCACTACCCTGCGAATCGTGGGCCCGATGACTCATTTGGGGACAAAGGGGGACCTGACCTCCAGGCCCCGCGTTTATGAGCAAGTCCCCGCTGTCTTGGGGCCCGTTAGCATAGGCCGGGGGCTCCAGCGAAAGAGCCATAATTGCCCTTTTCTCCTCCCCACGCCGGGCCCGGGCAGGTGCCCTCAGGGCGGGCACTGGGACCGGGTCAGGGTCGTCCGGACGGGCAGCGAGGGCCTCTGCGGCCCTCCTTGCCTCCCGGGAGGCTGGGAGCTGGATTTCACCGGGAGGGCGGGCGGAGGGGGACCGGGTGGAGAATGGGGCGGGCAGGTTTGGGTGTGGGGGTGAGGGTCCCTCGTCTAACCCGGCCTGTGCCCCCGCTCCCCCTCCAGCTGGTGCTGCCCGAGTACTCCATCCACAGCCTCTTCTGCATCATGTTCCTGTGCGCGCAGGAGTGGCTCACGCTGGGCCTGAACGTGCCCCTGCTGTTCTACCACTTCTGGAGGTGAGGCTGCGGCCTGGCCTGCCCTTTCCCGGCTCCGTGAGGGGAGAGGGGGCGCCCCCAGAGACGATGCCCCCCCATGGCCGGCCAGCGAGGGGCCTCCTCCCGCCTCCTCCCCTGGGAGAACTCTCCAGGCCCCTGTTTCCCCTCCTCCTCCTCCTCCCCCTCCTCCTCCTCCTCCTCCTCCTCCTCCTCCTCCTTCTTTTAATATTTTTTATTGATTTTTTTACAAAGAGGAAGGGAGAGGGATAGAGTTAGAAACATCCATCAGCTGCCTCCTGCACACCCCCTACTGGGGATGTGCCCGCAACCAAGGTCCATGCCCTTGACCGGAATCGAACTTGGGACCCTTCAGTCCGCAGGCCGCCGCTCTATGCACTGAGCCAAACCGGTTTCGCTTCCTCAGCTTCTTACGCAGCAAGTTTCGCGAGGAAGGCTCTGTGCAGGCCCCACCCTGGGCCTCGCTGGAGCTCAGTGAGAGCAGCGGCGGCCGCAGCACAACCAGAACAGGAGCTGGAGGAGGAGGCAGCAGCGGCCGAGCCCCTGGGACGTGCCTTCGGCCTCAGGAAGAGCAGGAGGGATGCGCCTTACGTTTTCTTGAATCCCGGACAGGGTCCGGCCTGGCCTGGCCACTCCTAGGCACCCAGAAAACGAAAGAAAAAGGAACGAAGGGGAAAGGGTTCTTTAACAACGAGAGTCCCACCTGGCTGGCGGCCAGCGTGGCTCAGGGCTTGAGCGTCATCCCATGAACCAGAGGTCACGGTTCGATTCCGGTCAAGGGCACAGGCCCTGGTCGTGGGCTCGATCCCCGGGGGGGGGGCGTGCAGGAGGCAGCCGATCCACGATTCTCCCTCATCGTGGATGTTTCTCTCTCTCTCTCTCTCTCCCTCTCCCTTCCTCTCTGACGCAAACAAAAAAAAGGGTCTGGGTACAGGTCAGTGTTTAAGCCGAGTGATGGCTGGCGGAGGTAGGACTGTGGTCCAGTGGCTTCCACCCGTGAGCACGGCTCGCTCTGTCCACACCTGCGCCCGTGCCGATACCTGTGGGCGGACAGAGGCTGTCTACCCACCGCAGGCCCCTCCCCGGTCCCACAGGGGGCTCGGCCTTCCTCCTGTCGGAGCAGCTGTGCGTGTGGCCGAGGCCCCCACGGTCTTATCTGCACGTCTGAATATCGAGAGAGAGAGAGAGAGAGAGAGAGAGAGAGAGAGAGAGAGAGAGAGAGAGAGAGAGCGCGCGCACCTGAGCCTCTGTTAGTGTCATCAGGCCGGGACCCGAGCCGGAGGCAGCTGGCTGCGAGGCAGAGCTCCCTGGGGGCGGCCAGCCTCGGGGTGGGGGTGGGGGTGGGGGGCTGGGCCCCGGTGACCCCAGATGCCCCCTCTCAGCCTCAGAGCCAGCAGCGCCCTGCCCGCCTCCCCCGCAGGTACTTCCACTGCCCGGCGGACAGCTCGGAGCTGGCCTACGACCCGCCGGCCGTCATGAACGCGGACACCCTGAGCTACTGCCAGAAGGAGGCCTGGTGTAAGCTGGCCTTCTACCTCCTGTCCTTCTTCTACTACCTGTACTGGTGAGCAGGCGCCCCCTCCGGGGGTCTGACTCCTGCAGATCGGGGGGCAGAGGTGGGGCGGTTCCAGGCCGGCCCCCTGGGCTCGGGGAGGGGCCCTGAGCCTGTGAGATGGATGCCACCGTCCGCGTCGCATCCGGAGCCAGGGCTCCTGTTGAATATGAAGCGAGGGCAGCGGTCCCCACGTCTGAAGCAATCTCTGCCACCTCTAAGTGCTCAATAAATTTTAAAAAAATATATTTTATTAGAGAGCTAGAAACATCAATGAGAGAGAATCATCAATCAGCTGCCTCCTGCACCACCACCTCCCCTCCCCCACTGGGGATGTGCCCGCAACCAAGGTACATGCCCTTGACCGGAATCGAACCTGGGACCTTTCAGAGTCTGCAAGCCGACGCTCTATCCACTGAGCCAAACTGGTTTCGCTAAAATTTTTTTTCTTTTTTTTTTTTTTTAAGTGTAGAACAGGCTGACATGATCTGCCCAAGGCAGCACCACCCTCCTGCCAGGGTTTATGGTTTCCTTGATGGTAGAGACCGTGTCTGTTGCACCCACCTCTGTGTCTGCAGTGCCTGCACATAGTAGGTGCTCACGAAACCCTTGCTGTTGCTGATAGTACAGGCCAGAGGTCAGCAAACTCGGAGCCAAATATCCACAGCACAATGATTGACATTTCTTCGGAGAGCCACATTTTTTAAACTTCACTGTCTTCTGACGCCGCTTCTTCAACATGGACTCGCCCAGGCCATGGCGTTTTGTAGAAGAGCCACACTCAAGAGGCCAAAGAGCCTCCTGTGGCTCTCGAGCCACAGTTTGCTGACCGCCGGTACAGGCCCAAGGCGAGCTTGGGGCTGCACACTCACGCCTCTTACCCGAGACACACTCTGCTCCTCTAACAAAAGCGACCGGGGCGAGAAAGCTGCATAGGTGACCCGGGCCCCTGGGGGCTCCCACTGACGCTTCCTCTCCCCCTTCCTTTCGCCTCCAGCATGATCTACACCTTGGTGAGCTCCTAACTCAGAGGCCATGCACACCCGTCGCCAGAGACTGGACGGCAGCACGCCGAGCTGAGCTGTCGCTTCTGCGGGCGACAGAGGGAAAAAAGGACAAAAGGGACGGGGTGGGGCTGTGAGAAGAGGCCTGGCCACACTGACTGCCTCGGGAGGAGCGGATCGGCGACAGCAGGAGCCGAGTTAACAGAATTAACCGCTGAGCGTGGCCACCTGAGGACCACAGGGCTGCGATCTGCGTACACCCTGCACCCGGCCTGCAGCTCCGGGGAGCGGGCGAGCAAACACAGACCGACCCTGAGCACACATCGCTGTGTCCCAAGCCTGCTTCCTCTCATCTCATCTCACAGCTCCCAGCGGGCCCGCTCCGGCTCCCTGGACCTCGGGCGTGGGGGCTGGGGGGCCCTAAGGCGCCCGCTACCGGGATGGAATGGCCCAGACAGACTCAGGCGAGTCCGTGGGACCCAGGGAGGGCCTCCGGGGACCCAGCTGCCCAGCTCTGAGGGTTCCTCCCTGCCAGGGCCGGCTCTGTGAGAGCCCAGCTCGGTGACGCCCTGCGCCGGGCTTGGGGCGGCGTGTGTCGCTAATAAAGTTGCCCAAAGTCACGGACGTGGGGGGTGGGGATGGGCTGGAAGGGAAGGGGGAACCAGGAAAAAATGACTTTGAGAAACGTGGACTCCATGTTCAAGGCCAAAGCCATCACAGCCCCCGAGTGCAAAGAGCTATGTCCTGCAAGGAACCCCCAGGGTCCCAGGGCCGCTCCGAAAGGAGACGGCATAATGACAGCTTCCCGTTAGGATGCCGCGTCCTTCATCCTGCTTAACCCGAGGGTGCTCCCCGTTTTGAGGAGGAGCTGACGCAGGAGGGAGGGTATCAGTGACATGAAGGCTGAGACGCATAGGATGCTCAGATTGGGTGCAGTGACTTTTTTTTAAATCTTATTCCCCCCTCTTCCCCTCTCTCCTCCTGTTTGACACACGGGCCATTGTGCATGCTCCCAGCTCCCGCCTGCGCCCGTGACGCAGGCTCAGGATCGGCGTCTGTGGGACACGCGTGTGAAGACGTGTGTTAAAGTGCAGGGACAACTGGAGTGTCTGCCCACCCGGCTGTCCCGTGTAAGCCTCGCCCCGGCTGGACACGCCTCCCTGGGGCTGGGTACCAGCAGGCAAGGAAGAGCAGGGTTTTAAGAAGGGTTTCATTTTGCTTCTCAAAATTCGACAGGAAACAAAGTGCAGACTTTTGCCTTCAGGACACAGGGCCCGCTCTGACGGAAATCCAGGTTTATTACAAAGAAGAAGAACACAGAGATACCCACTTCCCGAGAGAGTCTGTTTACCGTGACGGAGTGTTAAATTCGCAATTTCTCTTAGCGGCAAATCACAGCAATTCGCAGTCACACCGCGCTTACCACCGTACACTCTGCTCTCACGCCTCCTCCCTCCTCTGAGCTTAAGAAGTTGATATTGTTATTTTTTTTCTAAGGGAGGCAGCTTTAGCCCAGAGAGGGCCAGCCACTTACCGTTAGTCACACAGCAGTCACAGACCTGCCTCTGAAGCTACGTTGTCTGGCTTTAAAAACCCCATGTCTCCCCTGATGGGTTTGGCTCTGTGGTTAGAGCGGCGGCCTGCAGACGGAAGGGTCCTGGGTTCAATTCCAGTCAAGGGCACGTACCTGGGTTGCAGGCTCAGTTCTCGGGCCCAATCTGGGGGCATGTGCAGGAGGCAGCCAATCGATGTGTCTCTCTCACATTGATGTTTCTCTCTCTCTCTCCTCTCTCTCTCTCTCTCTCTCTCTCTCTCTCTCTCTCTCTCTCTCTCTCTCTTTCTCTCTCTCTTCTCTCTCTCCTCCTCCTCCTCCTCCCTTCCATTCTCTCTCAAAAATCAATGGGGAAAATGTCCTCGGGTGAGGATTGACAAAAAAATAAAAGACATTCAAACCCGTGTCCGTTCCGTCCCGTCTGAGTGCCGGCAAGACAGCCGAGGGTCCGATGGAAGCTTGGGTGGGAACATCAATGTTTGGAGGAGAGGGGTTTAACGTAGAGGCTGTGCAGAAACGCCTGGTTGGGGTGCCAGGCTCACTGGCTGCCTGTGGGGGGCCTCTTCCCAGGAGCCCCGTGAATGCTGGGCCCTGCCGGCGCGCCCCCTGCTGTCCTCATCCATAGGTGTATGATTTTTGTCCAATCTCTTCCCGTACCCCCCGCCCCTCCCCACAGACACCCCTTTCCCCCTGAGACTATTGAGCCACTTTCCAATCCCCGGGGAAGCTGGCCGAGAGGGTGGGAGTGAGGGCAGAGCCCGTGGGTGCGGCTTGCGGGCACCGAGCTGCGTGGCGGTGGCCAGGATCTCCCCCGCTGGCACCAGGATCCCCCAAAGCAGCTGTGCGTACCCCCGCCGTACCGACGAGGGACTGGGGGGGCTCCGGGCAGGTGGGTCTTTCCTGACATAGGAACTACGCCCATCCTCCGCTGATGGGCGAAACCTGGAGCTTATAAAGGCCACCCAGGGGCGCCGAGGTCACGGGTATCGGTACGTCCGGGGGCCTCGGCTCCAACAAGAGTCGTCCAGGCGCTGCTCTGTCTCAGGTGTGGGGACAGCCTGCTGAACCGGAGGGGGAATGAAGCAGGGCAGGAACATTAATGAGCATACATGCCAGCGTAAGCAGCCACTACCCCTCGGCCTTCATTGCCACCGTTAGCAGAAATCGATGTTTGCCGTGTGCAGACAGCAGCTAACGGCCTTGAACGCTCTCTAGGAGGTTTTCTCTCAGAATGATTTTCTCTCATCAGTGTAAGTGAATGCTATGGTGGTTGTGTGTGTATGTGTGTGTGTTTATTTTTTATTTTATTGATTTTTTTACAGAGAGGAAGGGAGAGGGACAGAGAGCTAGAAACATCGATGAGAAACATCGATCAGCTGCCTCCTGCACACCTCCCACTGGGAATGTGCCCACAACCAAGGCACATGCCCTTGACCAGAATTGAACCTGGGGCCTTGCAGTACGCAGACCGACACTCTATCCACTGAGCCACACCGGTTTCAGCCATGTGTGTGTTTTTTAATATTAAATGTTGCCATCTTATGGCTTGCCTTACAGCTACGGAAGAAGCAGGGAGCTTTTGAAAGGTGACAGGAGTAAAAATCCTAGAGGGAAAGCCGATGGAAAATGTGCATTTCAAACACATACCCCCCCCCACACACACACACATACACTGATTGAATGAGAGGATAAGGAGTCTGATTTCCCCACGAAAAGTAGAGAAATCGCTTACACACCAAGCACTTCCTCCCACTCCGCTGTGTTTGCGTCTCATTTCATTGTTTATATTTTTTCCCCCTGTGTCTGGTGCATTCTCCTCACTCACCGAGCTGTTGAGTGGAGGGCTGGAGACCAATAAGATCATTTCTGAGACGGGGAGTGCTCACTCAGTCAGTCAACAAACAGCCGGGGGGCTTTGGCGTGTGAGGTATTACGGAGTGGGTTTTTAGCTCCCCTGACATCCTGGCAGAGGGCTGTGAGGCTTTAAAGAGAAAAGGGAATAAGGTCGCTGAGACAAGCTTCTTGTTCCTAAACAATCTTGAAGTATCATGAGAAAATAAAATTATCACCCAGCTGGTGTGGCTCAGTGTTTGAGCATCGACCTAGGAACCAGGAGATCACGGTTCGATTCCCGGTCAGGGCACAGGCCTGGGATGCGGTCTCACACAGACTGCGACAGAACACCGGAAACCAGACCCCAGGCATTCTCGTCCCAGGGCCGGGCGATTCTCGCCAGGCCCCACGCCTAGTGCGTGACCAGCTGCTGAGGTTGGCAAGTGCGTCGTCAGCCCTCGGCCCTCATTATTGTCGTCAGTGTCCTGCTCTGGGGCTGACAGGCGCTCTGCAAGTGAGGCTGCTGATGAAGGGAAAAGCCTGAAATTAAAATCCCTCTGACTCGCCGGAAACCAGTGTGGCTCAGTGGAGAGAGCATCAGCCTGGAGACGGAAAGGATCCCAGGTTCGATTCCGGTCAAGGGCATGGACCTTGGTTGTGGGCACATCCCCAGTAGGGGGTTTTGCAGGAGGCAGCTGATCGATGTTTCTCTCTCATCGATGTTTCTAACTCTCTATCCCTCTCTCTTTCTCTCGCAAAAAAAAAAAAAATCAAATAAAACATATTTTAAAAATAAAAAAATAAAATCCCTCTACTGGCCTCGCTGGTGTGGCTCAGTGAATAGAGCGTCGCCTTGCGGACTGAAGGGTCCCGGGTAGTGAGGTGTGCAAGTGTCCACTTTCTAACTTGGCCTTATTCCCCACACAGACTTGAGTCCATGTATCATCTAAGATTGTAACATTGAAAACCTGTGGAGGCCCCGGCCGGTGTGGCTCGGTGGACAGAGCGTCGGCCTATGGACTCAAGGGTCCCAGGTTCGATTCTGGTCAGGAACATGTGCCCGGGTTGTGGGCTCCATCCCAGTGGGGGATGTGCAGGAGGCAGCTCTTCCTCGCTGTAAAAAAAAAAAAAATCAATAAAAAAAATATTTTAAAAAATTGAATAAATTTAAAAAAAGCTAACCGGCCCAAGGGAGAAAAAAAACAGGCCAATCCAGAGAGGAGAAAAGAAAAAAAAAGACAATCCTTTTTATTTATTTTTTAAAATATATTTTATTGTTTTTGTACAGAGAGGAGGGGAGAGGGATGGAGGGTTCCCAGAATCACCTGCCCACGACCTCGCCCCTGCCCCTTTAGGCCACACAGTGGGCACGCAGGTGGCCGGGAGCCTGGGCAGCTGGTGCAGGCGGCGGACCGGCCGCCCGCGGGCACATGAGCGCCCCCGCGTGGGCACTGCAGGGAGCGCAGCCGCGCAGGCACCTGGTCCAGCTCACCTGCGCCCGCCCTGCCCCGCCCCGCCCCGCCTCCCAGCATCCTTTTCAGGGGCCGCGGGCCAGCAACCGCTGCAGCCCAAGGGGTTGGCCCTCCGCGCTGTCCCTCCCTCGGGGTCGCCTTCGCCTGGAGCCCCCCTCCCCCAGCCCGTGCAGGCTTCACCTTGACCTTGGCCGCTGGGCCCCAGGCGGGGCCGGAGCAGGTAAGGGCAACGGGGACCCCCTGGGACACCCGCCCTTCGTGTCCGTGGGCCCAGCGCCCTGGGCGGCGGGGGGCCCGGAGGGACAGGTGGGCGCACCTCTCACCCTCCCCCCCCCCTGCAGCCCCCAGACGGCGGGCATTCGTGGGGCTCCCTCTGTGCCCCCCACATGCCTCCGACAAATGCCCCTCCCCCAAAGGGCTTCCCTTCCTAGGGCAGGAATAGTGTCTCCCCCCCCCCCATTTTTTTTTTTACCTTTTTATTGCATTTATTGGGGGTGGCCTCGGTTAATAATAGTCTATAGCTTTCAGGGGTACCATTCTATAATACACGGTCACCCCCAAGTGAAGTCTCCTCTTGGTCAGGTGAGGGAGCTCTCTTCTAGATGAAGGGGAGTTTCGGGGGGAGGGGTGTCTCCCCCAAGTCACGAGTGTGTAATGGACTCGGAGAAAAACGTGGCCACCGTTTACTGTGTCATATATGCACACACAGTGTATGTTTACACCGCGCAGATATGGATGGGTATGTGAGATTGAACGTGGACAGACGTAACATGTAAGTTCACACAGAGAATTACATTAATAACATCCATAGATATGGAACCAGCCTTCACGGGGTAAACTCTTATCAAACGACCGATAGATGGATGGATGGATAGATGATAGATAGATAGATAGATAGATATTTCACACACACACATATCAACACACATTGTTGGGTTTGATTTACTCATGTTTTATTTGAGACATTTGCATGTATGTTCGGAAGCGTTACAGTCTGTGAATTTTTTGGGGTGCATGTACGTCTGGTTTGGAAAGCACTGACGCTTTAGTCTCCACAAGTGAGTTCAGAAGCTTTTCCTCCTGATTTCGGAACGTCTGTGGGAGGGTCTTCTGTTTTCGGCATCTTTGATGACGTTCACCTGGGAAGGTCTGTGGGCCCGTGTCTCCCTCTTAATTGGGATTAAGGGAGAGCCGTTTGAGTGCCGTTTCTTGTTTTCCTTCACCGGCTGTTAGTTTGATTGGTCTTTATTATTGTCTTCTGTTATAATCATTTCTCCTCCTTCGAGCTTGTTCAGGTTCTAGCTTCTTTACTGAGCACTCGTTTTGTTTTGTTTCCAGTCTTTAAAGTACTGGATGCATTTAATGCTCTTCTGGGTTTCTAAAAATGTGCGTGTTATTGTTTCCTCTACGGGCATATTTTTCTTGTTGTTCGCTACTTTGTTTGGTTCATTATTCCACACGTAAGTGAAATCGTGGAGCTTGTCTTTCTCTGCCTGTCGTGTCTCACTTAGCGTAATACACCGCAGGTCCACCCGGGCTGTCGCAAAAGATAAGATTCCCCCCTTGTGGGTGAGCAGTATTCCACGGCACCACGGCTTTCCGATCCACTCGCCCACGGATGGGCACGTGGGCTGCTTCCAAATCCTGGCTGCTGCAAACAACGCTGCCGCAAACACAGGAGTGCGAATTAGTGTTTTCGGGTTTCTTCCGTAAAGGCCCAGGAGTGGAAACATTAAAAATGGTGGTGGATTAGTGGCCGACATTGATATGAAGAATTCTGTACATGTTAAAAGTTAGGATGACCAAATGTAAATTCAGTGAGTGGGCCAATTAAGAGAGAGAGAGATACGTATGCACTTTCAATGTGTAACTTTTGTACGCTGAATGGTACGTATATATATATATATTTTTTGCTTTTTGAGGGAATGAATAAGGTATAGTTAATTGTGCCTTGACATTTGAAATAAATTTTTAAGACAGATGGAGGTAACTGGCTGTTTGTGGTATAACAGATAAAGAGATCCTTCATTATAGTTAAATTGGTTTCCATTTCAGTTAATCACCATTAAATTCACTCTTTTTTTTTTTTTTAAATCACACATTGGAGAAGGCATGTGAATAATACGTGAATCCTGGGTGGTCTACTCTCCTAAACACAAGAAACTGACATTATTTGCAGTCTAAAGGAGAGGACCCTCAGAAACTTGTCAGGCCACATTCTGAACCTTCCTCATCCCCTTAGTATTTTCCTTTCTGTTTCAGTTACTGTACTAACGTTGTGGATGATACTGAAATTTTGCATAATGTGAACAGCATAAACGACTTATAAATTGAAAAAAAATATATATGGTGGCGGAATAAATGGTTGCTACCCTGACACGCTCCCAGGACCAAACTGGAATTACAACTAAAATATAGAAAAACCACCCCGACTAATCAACTGGAGAATAGATGGAGAGATCAGGAAAACCAGGGACAGAAAGTGGAGACCTCACTGAGGAGAGAGGGAGGGAGGGAGGGAGGGAGGGAGACATTGAGACATTGATGTGAGAGAGACACACATCTATTGGTTGCTTTCCACACATGATCCTAGCATGGGGCCAGGGATCACACCTGCAACCCCGGTACATGCCCTTGACCAGAAATCGAACCCGTGGCCCCTCAGTGTGCAGGCTGATGCTCTAACCACTGGGAAACACCTGGGTAAGGTTGCACGGGCAGTTTTGAATTCCTGTAGTCATAGCTGTGAAGTCATCTTTTACATTAAAAAGCATTTCTTGCTGAAACCAGTTTGGCTCAATGGATAGAGCGTCGGCCTGCGGACTGAAGGGTCCCGGGTTCGATTCTGGTTGGGGGCGTGTGCCTTGGTTGCGGGCACATCCCCAGTGGGGGGGGGGGGTGTGTGTGCAGGAGACAGCTGATCAATGTTTCTCTCTCACTGATGTTTCTGGCTCTCTATCTCTCTCCCTTCCTCTCTGTAAGAAAATCAATAAAATGTATTTAAAAAATAAAAATAAAAAGTATTTCTTTTATAGCCTACTTACTACTTCATAGTCTTATTCGGGGACAAAAACATGGCGTCCTATATACCCACTGATTTGACAACACTATGTCAACATGCGGAGGAGCAAAGAAACATAAAGTCAAGGTAAAATATGTAACTCTGTTAAAATGTTAACACTATTTATCTAGCAGGAAGTCAGTCTGCCGGTGGAAAATAATGTGAAGGTCACATATGAAGGTCATATGAGGGTTGGTAAGGATTGGCGTTTAGAAATCCTTACTCTCTCCTGGAGGGCGGGACCCAAGGAGAGAGGCAGATGAACACGGCTGTGGCTCCTTAGCCCCCCCCTGACATGCCAAGAAGGAGAGAGAGAGGTTGATGGGTGGGAGAGACTGACCAACATTTGAGAAATCCCAGAGAGGCCAAAGGCTGTTGGTTCTGGGTATGGATATGGGTAGAAAATGGCAGTTCAGCGCCCTGGCCAGTGTGGCTCAGTGGATAGAGTGTCGGCCTGTGGACTGAAAGGTCCCAGGTTCTATTCCGGTCAAAGGCAGGGACCTTGGTTGCGGGCACATCCCCAGTAGGGGGTGTGTGGGAGGCAGCTGATCTATGTTCCTTTCTTATCGATGTTTCTAACTCTCTATCCTTCTCTCTTCCTCTCTGTAAAAAAAATCAATAAAATGTGTTTGTTTTTTTTTAATTAAGAAAATGGCAGTTCAGAGCAGATGGAGAAATCAGAAATCCGTTAGAAAGAGGGTGCGTAGAAAACTCCCATAGCTTTGGGGATGAAACATCCTATCTGTAAAAATAACGTATTTTTATAACTCATGGATGGAAGGAAATTAGAAAAACTTAGAACTGAAAATATAGTAAAAGAAAGAAAAAAAGAGGGACCTTTACTTACCTCATGAAAAACTGTGTGAAAAAGCCATTTTAGTGTTTAGAGAGAAATGTATAGCCATAAAAACGTATATTATAAAATGAGAAAGGCTGCAAAGTTAATGAGCTAACAATCTGCTTTAAGAAAATAGAGGGAGCCCTGACCAGTGTGGCTCAGTGGATGGAGTGTCAGCCTGTGGACTCAGGGGTCCCAGGTTCGATTCTGGCCAAGGGCATGGACCTTGGTTGCAGGTACATCCCCATTGGGGGGGTTGGTAAGGATTGGCAGCAGGAGGTAGCCGACCACTGATATTTCTCTCTCTCTCTCTCTCTCTCTCACCCTCTCCCCTTCCCTCCCTTCCTCTCTGATATCAATAAAAATATTTTTAAATGAAAATTTTAAAAATAAGTCATATGATTATTTAAGGTTAGATGAATCTCTTTTGAAATTTTTAAATGTATCATATAAGAATTCAATAATTTTTTTTTTTTTTAACTATAGACTTCAAGCTAAGCTTGAGCAGTGTAAGTTGTCTGACTGGCAGTGCCTGGAATTCTTACCAGGTTGCGCTGTTTGGATTACAGTTTGTCATTTCAAGTGGTTTACAACTGACTCTTTATGCAGGGGGAGGGCGAAAAGCACTCAAAGAAAAGGTGAAAATTACCCGACCGTCACCATAATAAAAATCATGGACTTAAGAACTTATGAGTTATAAGACCTGTGAAGGGCTAAACTTTAAAACTGTTAGGAAAAGTATAAGAGAATTTTGCAGTTACCGTGGAATAAGGAGATATTTTCTAAGCAACACACATCATGTAGGCTGAAGAAGGAGGATTCTTAAGTGCCTTCCAGCTTTTGAAATCTGATGATAGCATCACTAACACCTGTTTAGCATTTGAATAGACTCCCCTGATTTCAGATCTGCTTATCAAAGCACCTGTCAACAGTGTCTGGAAATGATAGATGTCCTGTTGTCAAGTACAGAATAAAGACTTACGCTTTTAAGGTATAGAGCACATGTGTCAAACTCAAGGCCTGCGGGCCAAATCCGTCCCGCCAGGCCTTGCAATGTGGCGCGCACCGCGCTGTCATCACTGCACTCCGCTGCGTTTCCATCACAATGACAGTTTATGACTGTTCAGTAAACCATTCGGCCCGCGATTTAGGCTGGATTTTAGATTTTGGCCCCTTCTCTGATTGAGTTCGACACCCCTAGTATAGAGGACATTAAACACAGCATTTTCTTTTTCTTGTCTAGAAGATTTGTTAAGTTCGAAGATCAGAATTACCAAAGGGTCACACCCTCGCAGAATCAACCAGCTCAAACGACAGAAGACGAAATATCGAAATACAGACCGTATACGGAAACCTTGAAGCCAGAAAAAACAGAAGTTTATCAAGATGATTACCATCCAGGCATGTTGACTTATCTTTTCCGTAATGGGAATGAAGAGGACTTTTATAGCATTGAGTCAAAGTAACAAGGGAAACACATTGAAATACTCTTTCTTTAGTCCTAGCAATCAGCAATATCTTTAAATATAAAGGGGACATAATTGCCCAGCTGGTTGTGTTGCCCCAAGAATCAAAAGGTCACGGTTTGATTCCTGGTCAGGGCACATGCCTGCGTTGTAGGCTCGGTGCCCAGAAGGGGGCGTGCAAGAGGCTGGAGATCTGTGATTCTTATTGATATTTCTCTCTCCCTCTCCCTCTATTTCTAAAAATAAAAATAAAAACATTTCTTTTCTTTTTTTTTTTAAATAAAGGGAACATAATCTAAATACTGGTCAAAATATTAAAAATAACAGCGGGACCACTGCCACCACCAAGAACACGTGACATTCCTAGAGCAATTTACAGTTCACGTCACTCTTTCACGAATATCATATATTTCCCCCCCTGTGAGGCCAACATTCTAAGTCCCAGTACCTTCTGGCTGTTGCCACCTTTCTGCCCTCTCACCCCCACTGGCCCCTCCCCCCAAAACTGGAAAAATTGGCTGAAAGAGAACTTACTGTTTCCTTTGTACTCATTTTGGTTTGCTTGTAATTTCTGTGTCTTACCACCTGCTTGTTTGTAGCTCAGTGCCTTGCACTACATAAACATCTGTTAAACCATTGGGGAGAAAAACGTATTTGCTTTTCAGAAGCCCTGTTGTCAATAACTCCCCCATTCTTCGTGTTCAACAATCCACCAATCAGCCAGAACCGGTGTGGCTCAGTGGATAGAGCGTCGGTCTGCGGACCTGAGGGGTTCCCAGGTTCGATTCCGTTCAAGGGCATGTACCTTGGTTGCGGGCACATCCCCGGTGAGGGGTGTGCAGGAGGCAGCTGATCGATGTACCTCTCTCATCGATGTTTCTAGCTCTCTATCCCTCTCCCTTCCTCTCTGTGAAAAATCAATAAAATGTGTGTGTGTATATATATATATATATATATATATATATATATATATATATATATTTTTTTTTTTTTTTTTTCAATCCACCAATCAGGTAAGCCATGGAGGAGTGAGAAACAGGCCCGCTGTAATTTTTCTGAACTTATATCTGAACATTTTCTGGGCTCAGCTATCAAGTGACAGTTAACAAAAGCGTTTGGTTGTGTATTCTGTAATGAGGATCCACGTTTTTGTCATCATCAAATCAAACACCCGCATTTAAACCTCAGAAAGCGCTTAACCGAGCGCTTTACACGCTTTACACATATTTACCTCATCCTATGAGGCTTTTACTGTAACAACCCTTATCTCCAAGGCGAGGACAGCAAAACAGACGGATAACTGACAGAATAGATAGCAGAACAGGGGCAAAGCTCATAACTGACCTTGGAACCCAGGTGTTTTGACTCGGAGCTTATGTAAAATCCCGGTAATGATATAACGATCAACTGTATTGCTTGGTATGTGGAATTACTATGTAGCTATTCAGTCAATAATGGTTTAAAAAAAAAAAAATATATATATATATCTATATATATATCTATATATATCTTTTATTGATTTTTTTACAGAGAGGAAGGGAGAGGGATAGAGAGTTAGAAACATCGAGGAGAGAGAATCAATCATCGATCAGCTGCCTCCTGCACACCCCTCCCACCAGGGATGTGCCCGCAACCAACACACATGCCCTTGACGGGAATCGAACCCGGGACCCTTCAGTCCGCAGGCCGACGCTCTATCCACTGAGCCACACCGGTTTCGGCTAATGATGGTTTTATTCTCAGATTACCTTCCAGAAAGAACTCAGCAAGTTGTGGCTCCAAAACCAGTTCCCCAGAAGCAGAAAGAGAAGCCCACGGGGAAAAAGGTTCAAACGTGTACTTACCTGAAGGCTAAGGAGAAGAGGCTCGTGTCCTACGACAGGACAGGTACGTGGTGTGACTGTCCGAGCTTGTTCGGAAGGATCGATACCTTTTCAAACGACGCCGCGCTTCTGTGTGCTTACATCGCGTCGCGCTTTTAGAAGAAACGGTCTTATTGCATTTTACGCGTGGTCGCTTGAGAGCATCGTCAGCTGCGAGGAGATCAGGAGAGATTTGGGCCGAAACCGGTGTGGCTCAGTGGCTAGAGTAGGGGTGTCGAACTCAATCAGAGAAGGGGCCAAAATCTAAAATCCAGCCTAAATCGCGGGCCGAATGGTTTACTGGACAGTCATAAACTGTCATTGTGACGGAAACGCAGCGGAGCGCAGTGATGACAGCGCGGTGCGGGCCACATTGCAAGGCCTGGCGGGACGGATTTGGCCCGCGGGCCTTGTGTTTGACACATGTGGGCTAGAGCGTCGGCCTGCGGACTGAAGGGTCCCGGGTTCGATTCCGGTCAGGGGCATGTACCTCGGTTGCAGGCATATCCCCAGTAGGGGGTGTGCAGGAGGCGGCTGATCAATGATTCTCTCTCATTGATGTTTCTCTCTATCCCTCTCTCTTCCTCTCTGTAAAAAAAAAAAAAAAAAACAACAACAATAAACTATATTAAAAAAAAAAAAGAAAAAAGAAAAGAAAGATTTGGTCTGAAAGGTGTCAGCGGGATGAACGTTCTTGGGAGATGAGTTGCCTCCGACGTAGCCATCCCTTCTCTTCCGACCCCTCGGCCCCCGCCCTGCTCAGGCCTCGGTGAGGAGGCTCCTTCTGACAGTGCGTCTGAGCTGGTGTCTCTCTTCTTCCCAGCCGCCTGTGTCGTTAGGTCTTTGGTGACCTCTTCCTCAAACGGAAAAAATATTACCGCTTCTTTCCAGCTTCCGTTAAAACCGAATTCTAAGCTACGTTTTCTCCTCCCATTCGGTAGTCGGTGTACACTCTCAGGATAGGTTTCCCACTACATTTTTTTTCCCCCTCACGTAGAAAAATTTAGAAGAGTGTACGTACCCTTAAGTGATGCCCATTCTCACCCTGGCATTGGATCTCGTTTTAATATTCCGAACCAGAACCGGAGGATGATGATGTGGTTAGACACATCGTCAGGCTGAGAAGCAAGCTGGGTTGGCCGACAAAGTTACCGAGCTATAAACTGGATCACAGTGACGCCAGAACGGCCGTTCAGAAGAAGCGTCTAAAGGTATGGTTTTATTCAGCTTTGCACTGTTATAAAGGTTAATGTTGGAAACTGTGTCTCAATCTTTTTTAAAAAAAATATATTTTATTGATTTTCCACAGAGAGGAAGGGAGAGGGATAGAGAGCTAGAAACGTCGATGGGAGAGAAACATTGACCAGCTGCCTCCTGCACACCTCCTACTGGGGATGTGCCCGCAACCAAGGGACATGCCCTTGACCGGAATCGAACCTGGGACCTTTCAGTCCGCAGACTGACGCTCTATCCACCGAGCCACACCGGTTTCGGCAGGTGTCTCAATCTTTATGTCATTCATTATACTACACTAGAGGCCCAGTGCATGAAATCCGTGCACTGGCAGGGTTCCTAGCTGCTGCCAGCTGCCAGCCTGGGCCTCCCACCCTTCCCTCCGCCGCCCCTGCCCCCTGGTCAAACTCCCGGACAACTCATGGTTGAAGGGACAATTTGCATACGATGCCTTTATTATGTAGAATTAGAATCATTATTAATATCAAGTTATAATCTCGTTTCACGGTGAATGCTTGTGAAAAGTGTTTGACATCACTTCCTTTTGCTTATTTAAAGAGTGAGGAACAGGTCAGACATCTGCCTGAAATTGGAATGCTCTCCTAACGTTCATGCTGATCAGCTTTTTGTGATTTAGAAAGAAATCCTAGTGTAAAACTGGATGCAAAATTCAAAATTACAGTGATTGGCCGAAACAGGTTTGGCTAAGTGGATAGAGCCTGTGAACTGAAGGGTCCCAGGTTCGATTCCGATCAAGGCCATGTACCTTGGTTGCGGGCACATCCCCAGTGGGCGTTGTCCAGGAGGCAGCTGATCGATGATTCTCTTTTTCGATGTTTCTGACTCTTTATCCCTCTTTCTTCCTCTCTGTACAAAATCAATAAAAAATATATTTTTTAAAAAAAGTTAGAAGCTTTAAAGCTAAAGTAAATAAATTTGACCTAAACATGTTCTCAGTGGGGCATGTGTGATTTCTCAGACCCTCAGGGAGAGCCACGAGAGTACAGGGCAGCAGCCCAGAACGTGGGCTCGGGGTCAGCATTGCGGATCAATGCCTGCTTTGCCTCCCTCTGCTACCGACTTTTCTCCAATCACCAAACTTCCCAGCATATTAATTTATGCATCTGTGTAGTGAGATTCAAAAGATCCATTTAAGAGACTAAAGTTGAGACGTTAGGAACTCTGTGGCTGTCAAGATACGTATGCAGCACAGTTGTTACTCGTTATTTATTTATTGCTTGGCAAATATTAGCTGCTAGTTATACTAAACCATGAGGATAAACTTAATATGCTCAAAAGGCTTCTGGTGTTGGCAGGTTTACTGGAAGTGCAGCATACATAGCAAAGGTGTGAGTTCTTTGGGTTAATAAGCATGCATGGCCCTGGCTGGTGTGGCTCAGTGGATAGAGCATCGGCCTGCGGACTCAAGGGTCCCAGGTTTGATTCTGGTCAAGGGCACATGCCCGGGTTGTGGGCTCCATCCCCAGCAGGGGGCATGCAGGAGGCAGCCGATCAATGATTCTCTCTCATCACTGATGTTCCTATCTCTCTCTCCCTCTCCTTTCCTCTCATAAATCAATAAAAATATATATATATATATATTTTAAAAAATAAGCATGCATGAGTAAGCATACAGATCAATGTTCATGAATGTTTTATCACCACATTAGGTATAAGAACGAAAATTAAATGCATTAAATCAAGATGGATCTTGTTGAACTCTGATTAGACACAATTTGAAGTTCGCTTTTCTCTCAATGTGATTTTTTAATCTGTATTGACGTCTCAATTTACTGAGCAATTTGCCAGGCATTTGACTGCTTGCTCTGGTCGAGTTAATTAAAAAAGCTTTTTTTTTTTTTTTTTTTTTTTTTTTTTCTACCTCAGAGAACTCTAGAAGATGATGGCGAATTTGTTTATTGCCTCGCTCGGAGACACCCTCACACCTCCTACAACCCATACGACCTTCAGGTGGTCTCTGCCCACAGAGCAAGGCATTCCAAGGAATTCTGGACGGTGACTGCGTCCTTTGTCTCAAAGGTAATACAGGACGAAAGAAAAATCATTTAGGCTGTAGATGAGGTGGTGTGGGGGTCAGAGAGAGAGAGAAAGCTTAATGATAAAGACACGTGGCTCTAAGCCAAATACAGGCTCCCGTCATTCCTTGAAGATACCGTTCATATGTTTTAAAGAAACAAAGTCACGGCCGAAACCGGTGTGGCTCAGTGGGTAGAGCATCAGCCTGCAGACTGAAGGGTCCCAGGTTTGATTCCGGTCAAGGGCATGGACCTTGGCTGAGGGCACATCCCCAGTAGGGGGTGTGCAGGAGGCAGCTGATCGATGATTCTCTCTCATTGATGTTTCTAACTCTCTCTCCCTCTCCCTTCCTCTCTGTAAAAAATCAATAAAGTATATATATATAAAAAAGAAAGAAAGTCACGTCATTCTTTCTATCTGCAGGTTACCAAAACGGGTGCCGTAGAGGAAGTAGAACTCTCACCTACGATGGAATGGCTGTTAGAGAGAAGATGTTTCTATTCGCTGCAAAAATTCAAGGTCATTTCCAATTTTCGGTGAGATGAATGAAGTGGAAAACTGATTGGTCATGGGATCCTTTTGAAATAGTAATTCGCTGGGTGACATTTGGGTTTAGCTGTAGAAAAGCCATATTTATGGGGAATTATACAGGAAATGGGAAAGTCTATATATATATATATATAGATATATATAATTTTTAAAGAAGCTTACCCACTTAAGTATTACAACTCTTAATTTTATCTTTTTGGATGAATATTGTAAGAAAAAGGTATTTTAAAGTCAAGCAAACCTCAGTGGACCATAATGACTTAGTTTACTTTTTGATGCATTTATTTATTAAATGAATATTGAGTCTGCTACAAACCAGGCATTATTCCAGATGCTGTTGAACAAACCAAACAGTTATCGAGCTCTCAAAGGACTTAGATTATAATGGGTGAGAGGTGATAAAAAAAACCACACACATATATGCAAAATGTCAGGTGGAGATGAAATAGTGTCCTATATAACTAAAAGGGTAACATGCAAATTAACCCTAAAGATGGGACCACTGGGAGCTACTGGTTGCTATGACGCGCACCGACCACCAGGGGGCAGACGCTCCACAGGAGCTGCCCCCTGGGGGTCAGTGTGCTTCCACAGGGGGAGCTCTGCTCTGCCACAAGCTGGGCTGATGGCTGCGAGCACAGCGGTGGTCTGGATAGAAATCTCAGTAGCACCCTGAGGGCTCCTGGGCTGCCAGAGGGATGTCTGACTGCCAGCTTAGGCCCACCCCCCAGACGGACATTTCCTGAGGGATCCCGGACTGCGAGAGGGCACAGGCCAGGCTGAGGGACCTCCTCCCCTGAGTGCGTGAATTTTCCTCTCTGAAATCAGTACTGACTTCCGAGAGGAAGGGAGAGGGAGAGAGAGAGAGAGAGAAACATCAGTGATGAGAGAGAACCATGGATCAGTTGACTCCTGCACCGCACCCCCCAACTAGGGATCAAGTCTGCAAACCGGGCCTGTGCCCTGACCAGGCATCGAACCTTGACCTCCTGGTTCATAGGTTGATGCTCAACCACTGAGCCATGCCAGCTGGACAAGAATCATCTTTTTATGTGACATCTGGCTTCAGTGAAAATCATTCATTGTCTTTATTCATGTCAGGAAAAAATGTAGTTTTAGTCAGGTTAAGACTTGTAGTGTTATTTGATTTTTAATGTGTTTTGTAAAGTTTTTTTTATTATTATTATCATTAATGCTGTAACAAGTAACATTTCTAAGACAAAAATAAGATAAATATGGAGTTAACGACTTGAGCTGGTGATGCTGTGTGTACACCGCAGGGATGCCCGGAGCAGGCTTGGATGGCTCGGTCTCTGATTCAGAATCAGCCAATGGCATCACTCTGATGGGCTGGTTGGCTGGCCTCTTGGGCCCTCCTCTTGCCACCACTCCAGCTTCCGCACCAGCCCTAACCGGCTGCATAAGGGACTTCCCTTTGGCAAATAAGGACCCCAACTCACCTCCGTGTTTATATAACGGTGTGTCCTCAAGGCGGAAATGTCTGAGAGAGCCTGTGATGTGACATTCGTCCCTCAAGGGCATAAAATCAACTGCAGAATGCACTTGGGGAAATTGATGGAGAATTGCAGAAATAGTTGATGTGTCTGTTTCATCTGTTAGAAGCTAAGGGTGAGGAGTGATCACCAGAGAAACCACTTAGTTCCCTCTCTCTGAGTTTTCAATATCGCAAATGCATCTTTTTAAGAAAGTGCAAGTATTAAATATTATCAAAATGGCATACATTATCTTCCATTTTTACTTACCACTGTACAGTGATTTCTTATCCATGTACCTTTTCATTATCACTTGAAAATAGAACCTTCACTCTTCTTGAAATCTGAGTCTCTCTTAAAAATAGTGAGCCAGTATGCCTAAACCAGTTTGGCTCAGTGGTAGAGTGTCGGTCTGCGAACTGAAAGGTCCCGGGTTTAATTCCGGTCAAGGGCATGTACATTGGTTGCGGGCACATCCCCTGTAGGGGGTGTGCAAGAGGCAGCTAGTCAATGTTTCTCTTTCATCTACGTTTCTAGCTCTCTCTCTCTCTCCCTTCTTCTCTGTAAAAAATCAATAAAATATATTTTTAAAAAAATAGTGAGCCAGTAAATGTTCAAGGAAAAAGAATATATTTTTTATAGTTTTTATGCTTATTGGAATGTTGCAACTAAATCCGATCACGCATCTGTGAGGGTTATGATGACTTTTATTTACATTTGCACTTTGTTCTGTAGGCGGTTGGTTGTTCGGGAGAAAGTGGCATGATTTAGTGTTTGCTGAAGGTGGTGACTCAGGATGGATGAGGTGGCTAGGAATTTTCTCGTTTCACTAAGCCATGACTAGATTTATGTAATTGTGACTTATGAATATAGACTGTGAGAAGTCTCCTTCTTTTCAGATTGAATAAGGCCTTTGTTTTTTGGAAGTTGACCGTTAAAAGAATGAAGACGGACAGAAGCAGGTAAGTCTGGATAGAAATATCAAGAGGAAGCATTATTTTAAATACGTAGCATGGAAGCAGATATGGATGCAGATTCACTCGGTGATTAGAGAGTCACATACCATAACATGTATGATTAAGTCTACATTTTAATATTTTTATATGTTAAACGTAATGTGTGTGTGTGTGTATATAAATGTGTAGGGGTGTGTGTGTGTGTGTGTGTGTATGTGTGTGTGTGTGTGTATGTGTGTGTATACACATGTTCAACATTCTGTGCTGTAAGGGAATCAGAATGCTATTAAGAGTCTAGGATGAGATTCTCTTGGTCATGTGATCTAACATTTTACTTTCAAAAAGAGGAGTGATTAAGTAATCCGAGGTGGATGGCAGTGCATTCTATTTTGTAGGCCAGTGGTCGGCAAACTCATCAGTCCACAGAGCCAAATACCAACAGCACAATGGTTGACATTTCTTTGGAGAGCCACATTTTTTAAACTTAAACTTCTTCTACTGCCACTTCTTCAACATAGACTTGCCGGGCCATAGTATTCTGTGGAAGAGCCACCCTCAAGGGGCCAAAGAGCCGCATGTGGCTCGAGAGCCGCAGTTTGCCGACCGCGGCTGTAGGCTATCGGGCACCCAAGTCTCGTTGCTGCTGCTGCTGCTGTTAAACTTCTTACTTGGATATTATTTTAAATATTACATATGTCTCCTGATTGAAATGCAGTTGCGCCGAAACCGGTGTGGCTCAGTGGACAGAGCGTCGGCCTGCGGACTGAAGGGTCCCAGGTTCGATTCTGGTCAAGGGCATGTACCTTGGCTGTGAGCACATCCCCGGTAGAGGGTGTGCAGGAGGCAGCTAATTGATGTTTCTCTCTCATCAATGTTTTTAGCTCTCTATCCCTCTCCCTTCCTTTCTGTAAAAAATCAATAAAATATATTTAAAAAGAAAAAAAGAAATGCAGTTGCAAGAAATGATGTAGAGGGAGGGACCCCGTGTCCCCTTTGCCCAGTTTCCCCCGCTGGTGACATCCGGCAGATGTGTGGGAAAACATGACCCCCAGGACAGGGTGACGGAGGTGACCTGTGCTGACGAGAGGCGTGTCAGACCGATGGTCCGAGTTCTCTCTGCACCGGCTCCGTTCGCTCTGCAGGAGAGGTAACCAAGGCCATGGCCATGTTCTCACCTGCAGGTCCAGTCTGTGCTCCCACCTCTTTTGGGCGGATGAGTTGTTCCAAAGCTACTTGCTCTACGTAAAGGGACTTTGCGAAGATGCTTTTAATCAAGGCTATGGTGAATGTGAAGACAATCCGTTGGGCATCTGCCTTGTAAAGGTGGGGAAAAGCAGCCCTGGCTGGTGTGGCTCAGTGGACAGAGCAGCAGCCTGCGGACTGAAGGGTCCCAGGTTCCATTCCAGCCAAGGGCACGTGCCTGAGTTGCGGGCTCCATCCCCAGTGGGGGGCGTGCAGGAGGCAGCCGATCGATGATTCTCTCTCATCACTGACGTTTCTATCTCTCTATCCCTCTCCCTTCCTTTCTTAAATCAGCTAGAAGAAGTGTATTTAAAAGAAGGAGAAAGTATACTACTATAAGCTAGCATTGGGGTATAGAAACAAGGAAGAACAAATGGGGTTTTGAATAAAAAAAATATAGATATCTAGATCCATAAAGGAAACCATCTCTAGGGATGACTCATGTTCTAAAATACCGTAAAGATCTTTATTCCCTCGGGCAGTCAATTTTAATCGTTAACATTTCTTATAAGTAATTTCTCCCTCGCACTTACCCTAAGTCTGTCATGCAGCCCGTTCTTTATTTGCAAAACTCCAAACGTGCGATATTATTTATAAATAACCTACCACGTAACTGATAGTTACTGGCTAATCTTCCCTTCAGGAGAGCATGTCAAAAGTTGTAATGAGTTGCAACTGAAAGGTTTAGGTTAAATTTATGAATCCTCCTGTTCCACAGTTCTAAGAGAGGGTGAACTGCTCGATGAATGATTTAATTTAATGTATATGGAATAGTTCTTTCAAAAAGGTTAAGTATATAAACTATTGAATATACTCGTTGTAATGTGAGAAGATGGCCAAATGTTCTCTCTCTCTCTCTCTCTCTCTCTCTCTCTCTCTCTCTCTCTCTCTCTCTCTCTCTCTCTCTCTCTCTCTCTCTCTCTCTCAAAAGAATTTTGGCTTTGCACCACTCAACATTTATTATCCTTTAGCTGGACAGGTCTCGGACGTACTCTCTCGATGAATTCTGTGAGGAGCAGTTACAGCAAGCTTCCTGCACATTCCAAAAACTTGGGGCTATCCGGGGAAAAGCCATCGCAGAGATGAAAATCATGCTTTTAAAGGTAACCCTTCAATCACATCCTCTCTCAACGAATCCGTGTGCCTGCTGCTGACGAAAGCAATCGCTTCAAATTGCATCCCTGGAGCAAACGTTGGGAATGGGCGATGGAGGAAAACGTGTGCTAAATGCACAGTACTAGTTAGTTGCCTAATTAACTAACCAGCTGCACATTCAGGACATTTTCCATGCGTTGTACAGAGTGCCAATACATGTGCGTCTCAGGGCGCGTGTGTGTTTATTGAATTGTAGGTGGCGGAAAAGGAAGAGATCAGAGAGTATTTTGAGTCGAGCTTCTCTAAAGATGCCAGATCCCATCTGAAGCTGCCTGTGTATCGACGTTTGTTAAAGAAAATCTTGAGGTTTCTCACACTGGTGGACTACATATTTCAGGAGCTGGTCCGCCAGCTGATGAACACGGCGGTCACATTGCTTTTGGAATTATTTACTAGTTCTGCTAGAATGCCACTTTCCGTGGAAAAGAAGAATGAAGACCTAATCAGGTAAATCATATACATATATTTATTTTTTTACTGATAAAAGGAATTTGGAACCATAGTGTTGCAAACATTGATTATCCATTATAGAGGAAATAGTAGAAGTGAGAATTTGAAAATGCTTCTTATAGCAAATTGTATATACTCAATTTAAAAAAATATATATGTTACTGATTTTTTTACAGAGAGGAAGAGAGAGGGATAGAGAGAAACATCGATGAGGGAGAGTCATCGATCAGCTGCCTCTTGCACACCCCCTACTAGGGATGTGCCTGCAACCAAGGTACATGCCCTTGACGGGAACTGAACCCGGGACCCTTCAGTCTGCAGGCCGACGCTCTATCCACTGAGCCACACCGGTTTCGGCTGTATGTGCTCAATTTTTACAATGATCTTGCAATACTTTACTTAGTACTATCCATAAAACTTAAGAATATCCAACATTTCTTCAAAACTCTGCATATGTCTGATTGCCATATAAAATACGGGCTGTCCAGTACACTTTGAGATTCAGATACGTAATGATTTTTTAGTATGTCTCAAATATTACCTATATTAAATATTATTGTTCGTTTGAAATTTCAGTTTACTGGGTGTTTTATACTTTTATTTGTTAAGTCTGAAAATTCTGTGTGTAAGGCTAGTTCAAAGTTCAAGGCTATTCTTAAAAATGCCAGGGTGATTCGGGGAGCCATAAGCTTCCATTGGAATTTGAGTCATCTCCACTTAAATGAGACATAAGAATTTTTCCAGGTAGTAAAATATACATAACAAAATTTACCATGTTTAGATATGTAATCCAGTGGCATTGAGTACAATTTCCCTAATGATGAGGGATGCTAAGCATATTTTTCACATACTTATTGGCCATATTTCTTTGGAGGGATGACTAGTTATTTATGCATTGTGGGTATTAAAAGATAAAAAGAATTTAAAAGACCGTGTTTTCCCTTTTCCATTTCTTAATCTAGAACATACAAGGACACCATTGCTCTTACTGGAAAGTTAACCAGCGATCATGAAGAATTTGCTACTATTTCAAACTTATATGCTACTTCTGTCCCAAAGTCGGACTTACAAGCAGAAGCTGATATTGATAAGGTAAGTGGTCTTTGGAAAATGGAAGCATAGATTTTTTTAATGAATGAATGCATGAAAAGTCAGTGAAATGAATACGTTTGGAAATTAAAATGTGATTTCTGATTAAATGCTCAATTTCTTAACCCAAAACACACACACAAACACATGCACACACACATGCACCTCTATCCAATAAGCCAAACCAATTAGGCAACTTACTTTTTTTTAAAACTTTTTATTAAATTATTATCTTTGTACATATACCATTGCCCCCCCTCCCAGACATGCCCTCCCTCCCCAGAGTTTTGTGTCCATTGGTTGTACTTATATGCATGTATACAAGTCCTTCGGTTGATCTCTTATCTCCCCCAGATCTCCCTCCTCTCCCCGCTGTAATTTGACAGTCTGCTTGTTGCTTTACTGTCTTTATATCTGTCTTTTGGTTCATCAATTTATAATGTTCTTTATTATCCATAAATAACTGAGGTCATGTGGTATTTCTCTTTCACTGACTGGCTTATTTCACTCAGCATGATGTTCTCTAATTCTATCCAGGTTGCTGCAAATGATGAGAATTCCTTCTTTTTTATGGCAGCATAGTATTCCATTGTGTAGATGTACCATAGTTTTTTGGTCCAGTCATCTGCTGATGGGCACCTAGGCTGTTTCCAGAGTCTAGCTATCGTAGATTGTGCTGCTATGAACATAGGGGTGCATATATCCTTTCTGATTGGTGTTTCTAGTTTCTTGAGATATATTCCTAGGAGTGGAATTACTGGGTCATATGTGGGTTCCATTTTCAGTTTTTTGAGGAAACTCCACACTGTTCTCCACAGTGGCTGCCCCAGTCTGCATTCCCACCAGCAGTGCACGAGGGTTCCTTTTTCTCCGCAACCTCGCCAACACTTGTCGTTTGTTGATTTGTTGATGTTGGCCATTCTGACAGGAGTGAGATGGTACCGCATTGTTGTTTTGGTTTGCATCTCTCAGAACTTACTTACTTACTTACTTTTTTAAAAACATGCCAACAGCAGTGATCTGGCAATACAGTGGTTACTCAGTTAGACTGAAGTGATTATTGATTATGTAACAGGACCGTATTATCTGAACATCCTTCAGTCCCGTATGATCACCAGAGCCGTCCCCCGCCTGTCACGTTAGGTTATGAATTCCATTAAGCTGGACAAGGACTTGACCAAATGTGCCCCGGTGTTTGAGGTGCACCTGCACCTGAGAGTCCCTTCCGAGAGCGACTCCTCCAGAACCTCGAGCGGGAGCTCCCAGGGGTCGGACCGGGGCTCCGAGAGGTCCGGGCTGGACGAGGAGGGGTCCGGAACCGAGGTCGGCAGCATCGTCAAACCCTCGAGCGACGAGCTCCTCCTGGTGCAGCCGAAGCCCGCGGCTTTCCACCTGGAGGAGCTGCTGTCAGGTGAGAGGGCTGAGGGGTGCAGCGTGGAGGGGAGGACGCAGCCTGGCCGCCGGGAAACCGCGGGTGGGAAAAGAAGGCAGTCGCTTATGGACGATCGCTCAGCAGGCTGTGATTTTCAGCAATGGTGAAGGGAGGATGCTCCGAGGAGGCATAAACGTAACGGGCCATTTGTAGTGGATGCGGGCAGTAACGCCATGACCCGTTTTTTAAATCTTTTCTTTGTATTTTAAAAATATATATTATTTATTTATTTATTTGTTTGTTTGTTTGTTTGTTTTTTACAGAGAGGAAGAAAGAGGGATAGAGAGTTAGAAACATCGATGAGAGAGAATCGATCAGCTGCCTCCTGCACATCCCCTCCTGGGGGGTGCCCGCAACCAACGTACATGCCCTTGGCGGGAATCGAACCCGGGACCCTTCAGTCCACAGGTTGATGCTCTCTCCACTGAGCCAAACCGGTTAGGGCCCATTTTTTTTAATCTTTTTTTTTTTTTTTAATATATTTTATTGATTTTGTACAGAGAGGAAGGGAGAGAGATAGAGAGTTAGAAACATCGATGAGAGAGTCATCGATCAGCTGCCTCTTGCACACCCCCCACTGGGAATATGCCCGCAACCAAGGTACAGGCCCTTGACCGGAATCGAACCCGGGACCCTTCAGTCCCCAAGCCGACGCTCTATCCACTGAGCCAAACCAGTCTCGGCCATTTTTTTTTTTTTTTAATCTTAATAGCACTGGTCACTGACGGGGAACAGAGGAGCCCCTTTCATGAGAACGGACGGCATCTGGGACGCTGGTTAGCACGCACCCTATCTGAGACCAATTTAATCAGAATTGGGGGTCGGTGGGTGCTGGCTGGGCATTGCCTCCAGTTGATTCTTAGGGTGCTTGGGAAGCACGGATACATATCAGCTTGTCCTCTAGCTGATATAAATATCAATCTATTTTTTTCTTCTCCTCCTTTCAATGGATTCTAACAGATATAGAAGCCATGGCTGACTTTGATAGTAAAAGCGAGGATGATTCGTAAGTAGCGCACATTTCTGAAATTACAAGCAATCGGACTTGATGCTGGTTCCTGGTTCCCTTTGAAATTTGATTGTCTTCCCTCTTGTAGGTTTTTAGAATTCCCTACCAATCTCTTGATTGCTCCCAACCGACTGGACTTTTCAGTAAAAATTCAAAATATGCTGGCTGATATTGAAAAGTGCATAAGTAAGTATTTTCAAGTGTTTGGTTAGATGCATTGTGTTCTTCAGCAATATTTTCTTAAATTTAGGCATTGGAAGCTTTTGGCCAGGGATGTGGCAGATATTACGGAATATGAGAGATCATACATTCACACTCTTTGGGGTCACTATATGTGAATTTGAAATTATTTGAGCATCCGTGGGAATTATACCCGCAGCCATAGAATTAGGAAAAGAGTGGAATCTTGGATTTTTTTTTTTTTCCCAATAATGTACTACAGAATTTTATGAGACTTAAATAAGTAACATCTTCTATAGCATAACAAAACAAAGGTATTGTTTCCACCTTAAATAGGTTTTTTGTTATTGTTCATCCTCACCTGAGGGTATTTTCCATGGCTTTCAGAGAGAGTGGAAAGAGTGGGGGAAGAGAAGGGAGTGAGAGAGAAACATCGATGTGAAAGAGACACATTGATTGGTTGCCTTTTTTGCACGCACTGCGACCAGGGCCTGGGATCAAACCTGCAACCCAGGTACCTGCGCCGAGACCCTTCGGTGTGCGGGCCAACGCTCTATCCACTGAGCCACACTGGCCGGGCTTCAATAGATTTCTACGAATGCTTTTCCAGCTGGGTGTACACACTCTGAAATCCCACGGCAGTCACCAGCCTGGCCAGCGAACTGATCCCTTCTCCACGGTCTCGGTCTCAGAGAGATCCTGAAACACCTGGATCTCCTTGAATGCAGCAGCATCCTCCAATCACAACCCCAGAGTTTGCTGAGTTCAGAGGCCTCTCTTTCGAGCCTAAACCAGTATCCAATTCACTGTTTGTTTGTTTGTTTGTTTTTTAAATATATTTTTTATTTATTTCAAAGGAGAAGGGAGAGAGAGACATCAATGATAAGAGAGAATCACTGATCGGCTGCCTCCTGCACGCCCCCTACTGGAGGTCGAGGGTGCAACTCTGGCATGTTCCCTGACCGGGAATGTAACTGTGACCTCCTGGTTCATAGGTCGATGCTCAACCCAATGATCCACACCAGCCAGGCTCCAATGCATTGCTTGATTTTTATCATAAAAAAAATTTTTTTTATGAGTTCAGGAACCCAGTCTGTCTTGCTGCCCTTAATGTTGAGTTGTGAGAGGTCTTTATACATAACTCTCAATACACGTTCTTTATTAGTTATAAGATTTGCAGAATGTGCCTTGACTTTTCATGTCTTTCTCACAGAGCTAAGCTTCTTAATTTTGATCAAGGACAGCTTATCCATTTTTTTTGTCTTCATCGATGATACTATTGACTTTATGTCTAAAGACTCATAGTCTAACTCACGGTCACACAGATATTTGCTGCATTTCCTCCTAGCAGATCCTAGATGTGTGTTTTATTTTTAGGAAGGTGGGGCATCTTGAGTGGATACTTTATAAAGTCTGAAGTGGAGGTGCAAGTTATTATTTTTTTCCCCCCTGTGGACATCCAGGCATGCAGCCAGATTATGAACGCACTGATAGCAGAGGCTGTGTCTTCTAATCTTTGTATCCGCACGTTGGTATAACGGTCTCCGCATAGCACACACACGCCAAATCCTTGTTAGCTTAATGACTTATTCTCAGCTTTTGTTCTAATCAACGCTTCATCACGCTACCACTAGTTACCTACGGGCTGATTCTTTTGTTTCCATAATATTTTTATTTTTTTATATTTATTTATTGTATTTTATTTTTTAAAATATATTTTATTGATTTTTTTTACAGAGAGGAAGAGAGTGAGATAGAGAGTTAGAAACATCGATGAGAGAGAGACATCGATCAGCTGCCTCTTGCACACCCACTACTGGGGATGTGCCCGCAACCAAGGTCCATGCCCTTGACCGGAATCGAACCCGGGACCTTTCAGTCCGCAGGCCGACGCTCTATCCACTGAGCCAAACTGGTTTCAGCTGTTTCCAAAATATTAAATCCAAACTTTTACACCTGCCTTTCAGTCCCATTTATACCGTCTAGTTCCCATATTAAGCCAATTTCAGTTATCCGTAGTTCTAGATGTCATGGATAATTACAGTGTCAGGACTTTGAAAAATATTAACTTTTTTTTTTACTCATGTATTTCAGCCCAAATTATTCCTCTTGTTCAAGATCCCCGGCTGTCTGACTTTACCGATTCGGATTTATCGAATGCAGAGCAAAGCAGAACAGACTCCAAGAAGCAAGCCAGGTGGCCAGATTGTCAGACCCTGTTTGAAATGGACCCTGTCTACCAAAACAATGTACGTTTAGAAACTGTTTTTGTTCAAATTCACAAGAGAATGCAGTCCGCAGGCCGACGCTCTGTCCACTGAGCCACACCGGTTTCGGCCGTCATACATATTTTTATTATTTTTTTTTAATTTTTTAATTTTATATATATATATTTTTATTTTTTTAAATATATTTTATTGATTTTTCACAGAGAGGAAGGGAGAAGGATAGAGAGCCAGAAACATCGATGAGAGAGATACATCGACCAGCTGCCTCCTGCACACCCCCTACCGGGGATGTGCCCACAACCAATGTACATGCCCTTGACCGGAATTGAACCTGGGACCCTTGAGTCCACAGACCGACGCTCTTATCCACTGAGCCAAACCGGTTTCGGCTAATTTTTTTTTATATATTTTATTGATTTTGTACAGAGAGGAAGGGGAGAGAGATAGAGAGTTAGAAACATCAATGAGAGAGTCATCGATCAGCTGCCTCTTGCACTACCCCCCAACTGGGGATGTGCCCGCAACCAAGGCACATGCCCCTGACCGGAATCGAACCCGGGACCTTTCAGTCCGCAGGCCGGCGCTCTACCCACTGAGCCACACCGGCCCCGGCCGTCCTACATATTTTTTTTTTTTTTTTTAAAGGAGTTACGCGCGCGTCGGGCCCCGGGGCCCCTCTTCCCTCCTTGGGGTGACGTCCTGCCGTGCCCTCCCCCCCGCAGATCGTGTGCCTGCTGGCCGTGCTCGGCCGCGCCATGACCCTGGTGAGCGGCCACAGCCGCCGCTTCGTGAAGTACTGCACGATGGCGGAGCGGGCGCAGGCCACGGGCGCCTGGCTGGCGGCGGCGTGGGAGCCCACGGCGGCCCAGTTCCGCACGGTGCTCGGCCGCTTCCTGGGCTACCTGTGCGACGTGGCGGGCATGGCCACCGAGCGGCGCCTGGGCGTCTTCCTGGTGCGGAGCGCCGGCCTGCAGGCCGAGTGCCTGCCGCCGCTGGAGCGCGTGCTGCGGGCCAGCCGGGCCCTGCTGCACGCCGTGGTGGAGCGCAAGAACGGGCACCTGCTGGAGGTGAGCCCCCCCCCGCCCCCCCGACGGGCAGCACGCCCCCGGGGGACGCAGGGGCGTCCGGCCGTCTCCCTCGTGGGCAGCCGATGCCCCCCCCCCAGCCGGGCCGGCCAGGGCATCAAACCTGCGGCCGCCGTCCATGCCCTCGACCGGGAACCGAACCTGCCACCCTTTCCGTCCGCGGGCTGGCGCTCTGACCACTGAGCAACCCGGCCAGGGCTAGGACTGGCCTTTTCTTTATTTTATTATTTTATTTAAAAAAAAAAAAAATATATATATATATATATATATATATATATATATATATATATATATATATATATATATATTTTTACAGAGAGGAAGGGAGAGATATAGAGAGAGAGAAACGTCGATGAGAGAGAAACATCGACCAGCTGCCTCCTGCACCAACCCCCTACCGGGGATGTGCCCACAACTCACGTACATGCCCTTGACCGGAATCGAACCCGGGACCTTTCAGTCCGCAGACCGACACTCTACCCACTGAGCCAAACTGGTTTCGGCTTATTATTTTTTAAAAAAATATATTTTATTGATTTTTTTTTTTACAGAGAGGAAGGGAGAGGGATAGAGAGCTAGAAACGTCGATGAGAGAGAAACATCCACCAGCTGCCTCCTGCACACCCCCTACTGGGGATGTGCCCACCACCAAGGTACATGCCCTTGACCGGGAATCGAACCTGGGACCTTTCAGTCCGCAGGCTGACGCTCTATCCACTGAGCTTTCAAGCCGGCCAGAGCTAGGACTGGCCTTTTCCTAGGGCCCAGGGCACAGGCACCAAACCCCGGTGACCAGCAGAGGGGTAAGCGGCTGGTGTCTCTATCACACGCTCACTGTCTAGTTCAGCGGTCGGCAAGCCGCGGCTCGCGAGCCACAGGCGGCTCTCTGGCCCCTTGAGTGTGGCTCTTGCACAAAATACCGCGGCCTGGGCGAGTCTGTTTGGAAGAGGTGGCGTTAGGAGAAGTTTACGTTTAAAAGTTATCCTCGGGCCGAGCCGAAACCGGTGTGGCTCCGTGGATAGAGCGTCGGTCTGCAGACTGAAAGGTCCCGGGTTCGATTCCGGTCAAGGGCATGGACCTTGGTTGCGGGCACATCCCTGGGAGGGGGTGTGCAGGAGGCAGCTGGTGGATGGGTCTCTCTCATCGACGTTTCTGGCTCTCTATCCCTCTCCCTTCCTCTCTGTACGAAAATCAATAAAATATATTTTAAAAAAATAAAATAAATAAAAAATAGTAACAGTAATGCAGATAGATCCCCAGGCTCAACCCCAGATCTACTGAAACAAACTTTGAGGATTGAATTTAAAAAAATAAATAAATAAATTAAATAAATAAATAAATAAATAGAAGTTATCCTCAGAAAAGGCCAGCCCGCATTTAGCTGTCCTGGTCTGGGAGCAGGTGTTGGGTCCTCGGAGACACCTCTGAGCCGCCTGGGAACTGAGCCGTGACCCCTCCTGGTTCATAGGTTGGAGCTCAGCCACTGAGCCACACCGGCCGGGCTGCATACACATGCTTTCCAAGATTTTTGCATTGATGCTTGTGAGCGAAATTGCTCTGTGATTTTTTATTATTATTTTTTCCCCCCTTAACCATCCTTATCTGGTTTGGGTATCCATGTCCTAGATCACATGTGTCAAACACAAGGCCCGCGGGCCAAATCCGTCCCGCCAGGCCTTGCAATGTGGCCCGCACAGCGCTGTCATCACTGCACTCCGCTGCGTTTCCATCACAATGACAGTTTATGACTGTTCAGTAAACCATTCGGCCCGCGACTTAGGCTGGATTTTAGATTTTGGTCCCTTCTCTGATTGAGTTCGACACCCCTATCCTAGATGGTGCCTTCATTTTTTTTTTTTTTTTTCCCTAGCGTTATCATTATGTTAAGTTAGCGTGAGGCAGTAATGACTTTTCTAAAGCAGCGCAACATCCCTCTATCGTCCTGTAACCGGCGTGTCCGCGGCTGCAGGTGGTCGAGTCGTCGCTGAAGAAGCTGGAGGGCCGCCCCGTGGAGATAGAAGAATTCGTGGAGCACTTCACCTTCCTGGACGCCATCTCCTCCAGGATAGCGCAGCTGGAGAAGGAGTACTCGGCGGCCGCCCAGCTGCACTCCGTGCTGGCTCACTACCAGGTCCGCGTCCCCGAAGAGCTGGCCGCCGTCTACAAGGTGCTCCTCACCCGGTTTGGGCAGCTCAAGGGCGCCGTGAAGCTGAGCAAAGCCAACAAGGACGCAACCGTCGCCAAGTTCAGGGACAACCTGGAGATCTATGTCACGGGGCTGCGGGGCGAAGCCAGCGAGCTGAAGGCCAAGGTGAGCGCCCGCTTCCCGCGCCGAGGTCAACGAGGGCTCACGGACAGGCGTTGTCCTTCTGCCGACTCTCAGGGAAAAAATGGAACGAATGGATTCTTTTTTATATATAAATATGTCTTATTGACATTTACAGAGAGGAAGGGAGAGGGACAGAGAGCAAGAAACATCGATGAGAGAGAAACATCGATCGGCTGCCTCCTGCACACCCCCCACTGGGGATGTGCCCGCAGCCAAGGCACGTGCCCTTGACCGGAATCGAACCCGGGACCCTTCAGTCCGCAGGCCGACGCTCTATCCACGGAGCCACACCGGTCAGGGCGGACGTATGGATGCGTAACCGGGAACCCACGGGCGGGATTTTGAGGTTGTGTGACTGTGAGTGGGAAGTGAGAGGACGTGTCTGCTCTCACGAACCCCCAGCTGAAATTCTGCGTCTGCTTCCATTCTGAGTGAACACAGACGGCAGACGACAGCGAAGCTGGTTCCCCCCGGGCTTTGGCAGAGGGCTCAGGGGGGTGCGGGGGGGGGGCATGGAAAGGGCAGAGAGACCCCGAGGCCCCCTGGGCCTTCGCCTAGGCCAGGGGGGTGAGGCCCGTCCGGCCCGCGGGCCTTATGGGGCCGTGACGTCACTTGGTCTGGTCCTGCCAAGGCATTAGGGGTAAGTTAGTTAGATGTTTGACCAAATAGAGCAGGTTTTTTTTTTTAGTTTTTTTTTTTTTTTTTTTTTTTTACTTTCTTAAAATTATGACTATTTTTTATTTTATTGTTGACCGTATTACGGATGTCTCCCATTTCCCCCTCCTCTTCACCTCCCTCTGCCCAGCTCCTCCCGCCTTTCCAGATGGTGGTCGCAGGTGACCTTGGGAAAGCTTGGGATGAGCGCTGAAATGCTGTCCATGGGCATGGCTCCGTTACAAACATTGTGTTAGGGTTAGGGGTTAAGGGTTAAAGGTTAGGGGTTAAGGGTTAAGGGTTAGCCGAAGCCGGTTTGGCTCAGTGGTAGAGCGTCGGCCTGTGGACTGAAAGGTCCCAGGTTCGATTCCGGTCAAGGGCATGTACATTGGTTGCGGGCACATCCCCGGTAGGGGGATGTGCAGGAGGCAGCTGGTCAATGTTTCTCTCTCATCGATGTTTCTAGCTCTCTATCCCTCTCCCTTCCTCTCTTTGAAAAATCAATAAAATATATTTTTTTTAAAAAAAGATGAGGGTTAAAGGTTAGGGGTTAAGGGTTAGGGGTTAAGGGTTAAGGGTTAAAGGTTAAGGTTAAAGGTTAAGGGGTAAAGGTTAAGGGTTAAGGGGTAAAAGTTAGGGTTAGCCTAACACTCCTAGCGTGTGCTCCCGCCCTCTGCAGATTTGGACGCCCGTCCTGTTGCACATGGGGACGCCCGTGTCCGTGGCGCTGGACATGATCCAGGGCTTCTCGCAGGAGGCCTCGAGCCTCGCCAACAAAGTCCGGATCTGCGCCAACTACCAGGAGTCCTTCGGCGAGTCCCACTCCCACATGCACCCCCTGAACGTGGAGGAGATCACGCAGATGGCGGCCGCCGAGATCTCCGACATCGACTACGAGCTGACGCTGCGGAAGGTGCTGTGGGAGGCGCAGGAGGAGTGGCGGGCCCTCTTCCAGGAGTGGAAGGCCAGCACCCTGCGCGACATCGACATCGAGTCGGTGCAGACGCACGTGTCCAAGTGGATGAACCTCATGTTCATCCTGGAGAAAGGTCAGCGCGCCCCCCGCGTTCGCCCGCCGAGGGTTACTGAGAGGCCCCGGGTTCGATTCCGGTCAAGGGCATGTACAGTGTTTTCCCGAAAATAAGACATCCTCCGAAAATAAGACCTACTTACAGGTTTCCTTCTGAGAGAAATATAAGGCATCCCCCCGAAAATAAGGCCCCCCCCCAGGCTCTGTCTCAGAATGCTATTGCTAAACATGAGAGATTTGGTCCACTGATTCTGAAAGAAACGGAGTCACAAGAAATTCACCAGGAAATTCAGGAATTGGATTGTTATGATGATGTTCCAGATGATGATGACATGATTATCATTGAATCAATGAGTAAATTCTTGATACTGTAGGATTCACAGTTTGTCTGGTTTGTGTTGACAACTACCGTACTACCGTATCGTATACAGGTAATAAATTTCCTTTATTTTCATTTAACAATAAATGTGTACCATATTCTTCTTCATGGAAAAATAAGACATCCCCTGAAAATAAGACCTAGCGCATCTTTGGGAGCAAAAATCAATATAAGACACTGTCTTATTTTTGGGGAAACAGGGTACCTGGGTTGCAGGCACATCCCTCGGTGGGAGGCGTGCAGGAGGCGGCCGATCCATGTTTCTTTCTCATCATTGATGTCTCTCGCCTTTCCTCTCTGAAGTCAATAAGAGAAATAATAATAAAACATACAGAGAGCATGCCATCAGCCTCCCGTTCCTCTCCCCAGGCCTCCCCCAGAGCAACCTGGTGGCCTACCTCAAGCAGTCGGTGACCAGCTTCAAGCAGGAGCTTCCCGTCATCAGTGCCCTGGGAAACCCCTGCCTCAAGCCCCGGCACTGGGAGGCATTCCAGGAGATCATTGGGAAGTCCGTCCTTCTGGACAAGAACTGCACCATCGAGAACCTTCTGGCGCTCAAGGTAAGCAGGAGGGGTTCGAGAGAGAGAGAGAGAGAAAAGAAATGGCTGAAATCGTGCCGAGGCTAATTCTAAGTGAGCAAGAACGTCTGCAGGGATCCGGAGTTAGAAAAGGGAGGATTCACGGGGTGTCTGGGGAAGGGAGAGTAGGATCGTCGATGATACGTGAGAGGCGGTCCTGTTTGATTGGCCATATTGGGAAGAAGCCCAAACGCACGTCACTCATGTCTTTTCAGCAACACTTACGCTGTAGGGAGAGGTGGCAGAGGGAGGGAGTCCGTGGGAGGTTGGGTCCATGAGCGTTGTATTCTCTCAGACGATCATACCCCAAGAATCCTATCGAATCAAAGAGTCATAGGCAAATTGACCGTCACTCCGAGACACAAGATGGCCGCCCCCATGAGGACACAGATGGTCTGCCACAAGATGGCCTGCAGGGGAGGGCAGTTGTGGGCAGTTAGAGGTGAGGAGGGCAGTTGGGGGCAATCAGGCCAGCAGGGAGGGCAGTTAGGGGAGACCAGATCTGCAGGGGAGGGCAGTTGGGGGTGACCAGGCCTGCAGGGGAGGGCAGTTGTGGGCAGTTAGAGGTGAGGAGGGCAGTTGGGGGAGACCAGATCTGCAGGGGAGGGCAGTTGGGGGTGACCAGGCCTGCAGGGGAGGGCAGTTGTGGGCAGTTAGAGGTGAGGAGGGCAGTTGGGGGCAATCAGGCCAGCAGGGAGGGCAGTTAGGGGAGACCAGATCTGCAGGGGAGGGCAGTTGGGGGTGACCAGGCCTGCAGGGGAGGGCAGTTGTGGGCAGTTAGAGGTGAGGAGGGCAGTTGGGGGCAATCAGGCCAGCAGGGAGGGCAGTTAGGGGAGACCAGATCTGCAGGGGAGGGCAGTTGGGGGTGACCAGGCCTGCAAGGGAGGGCAGTTGGGGGCAACCAGACGGATAGGGGAGTGGTTAGGGGGTGATCAGTCAGGCAGGCAGAAGCGGTTAGGGGCAATCAGGCAGAGGCAGGCAAGCAGTTGGGAGCCAGCAGTCCTGGATTGTGAGAAGGATGTCCCAGATTGGAGAAGGTGCAGGCTGGGCTGAGGGACACCACCCCTCCCCCCAACACACACACACACACACACACACACACACACACACACACACCCGTGCACAAATTTCGTGCACAGGGCCTCGAGTTACTATAGAAAGGAGAAGCATGTCACAAAGCAGTCAAACAGCTGACACTGATACGGAGAAAAGGAAGGGGAAGGAAATGGTAGGGAAGGCGCTGTTAACTGTTCTTACACCAACTGGGCCCCGAGGTGCCACGCCTGCGGGTAGAAATGTTCGCGGAGCGTGGTGCATGCGGCCTCGGGGGCGTGCGTCACGAAGGCTCCGCCTCGCAGCCTGTGGTCGGGAGGGAAACGGAACCAATCAGACCTTCGCCGTCCCTGCCACGTGTCTCCCGTCGTCAGCGTGCCAGGAATTGTTTGCCGCACTGACATTAATTAACCTGTTAACCGGGGAGTTCCCTTTTTAATTATGCAACCTGTAACGGGCACGTACTCTTTCACCAGGACGTGTCAGTACGCCACGCCCGGAGGACGTAATTTCATATTATTATCATTTTTTAAATTTATACTTAATTAAAATAAATTATATATATATATTTTTTTCATTTATTTATATATAAAGCACAAAGGAAAATACAAAATTACAAAAAAAAAATAGAAAAGAATACCAACAATAACAAAAATGGAAACATCGAATTAAAAAATTATAAATTTTACAAGCAATTATGAATTTTACAAGCAATTATGAAGATTACAAAAAATATATATATACCGTCGTCCCTCTCGGGGCGCAACATATATTTCCAGGATGTGTTCATACGTCCTGCCCGTTCCCGATATTGGTTTTTAAAAAAATATATTTTATTGATTTTACACAGAGAGGAATTGAAAGGGACAGAGAGTTAGAAACGTCGATGAGAGAGAAACATTGACCAGCCATCTCCCGCACACCCCCTACTGGGGATGTGCCCGCAACCACGGTCCATGCCCTTGACCGGAATCGAACCCGGGACCCTTCAGTCCGCAGGCCGGCGCTCTATCCACTGAGCCGCACCGGCCCCGGCCCGCTCCCGATAGTGTTTACGGTGGATGTCTTCAGCGGGTCCCGCTCGGTTCGCGGGTCCAAAGGGCGCGTTTCCCTTCCAGATGTTCCAGTACGAGAGCGAGATCAACGAGATCGCCTCCGCGGCGATGCACGAGGCCGCCCTGGAGAAGATGCTGTTTAAGATCATCGACCTCTGGAGGACCACGCCGCTGCATTTGGTCCCTCACCTCACGGAGACCGACTCGATCCTCGTCATCTCGTCCCTGGACGACCTGCTGGCGCAGCTGGAGGAGTCGCAGGCCATGCTGGCCACCGTGAAGGGGTCCTCGTACAGCGAGCCCGTCAAGGTAGGCGGCGTGGCCGCGGCTGCCCTCCTCACCTCTAACTGTTCTCGCGTCGTCGCCCGCCGTTCTGCCCGGCGCGTCCCGCGGTTGCAATCTGGGAGCTTTGGATTGGAACAAAGCATTGATATGCTGACTGGAGGCGCCCAGTGCGTAGTAGTGATCAGATCTGTGCTCAGTTTCTGTTTTATGATTCTTTTTTTTTTTTAATTGATTTTTTACAGAGAAAGGGGGAGAGAGAGAGAGATAGAGAGCTAGAAACGTCCATGAGAGAGAAACATCGACCAGCTGCCTCTTGCACACCCCCCACCAGGGATGTGCCCGTAACCAAGGTCCATGCCCTTGACCGGAATCGAACCCGGGACCTTTCAGTCCACAGACCGACGCTCTACCGCTGAGCCAAACCGGTTTCGGCTGTTTTATGATTCTTAGGAGCAACTTCCCATTTAGATTTCGGCTTCTCTCCTCGTAGGGCCTTGTGGATAAATGGGATGCGAACTTGACCCTCTTCTCGGACACCCTGGAGGAGTGGGTCAACTGCCAGCGGTCTTGGCTCTCCCTGGAGCCAGTCTTCAGTTCTTTGGAGGTAAAAAGGTAAACACTTGAAATATAGGCCCTTACTGCAGGTACAAAAAAAAAAAAAAAAAAAAAAAAAAAAAGCATGGTGGATAGTAATTCCTCTGATGCTTGAGAAATCATTTCTTCAATGAACACTCATTGGCCATTTCCTCAAAAAAAAAAAAAAAAAAAAAAAAAAAAAAAGACGATCCCCACTGTCCTCTTTCCAGGCAGCTTCCCAAGGAATCTGAGCTCTTCAATCAGGTGATCGCCAGGTGGAAGGAGATCATGTCAAAGATCCAGAACAAGCTGGACGCGCTGGGCGTCGCCACGTCCACGGGCATGCTGGAGATCCTTAAGAACTGCAATGCCTCCCTCGAACACATCAAGAAGGGCCTCGAGGTAACGCCACCTCGAGGGGTCCCCATGTGGAGGACCGCTCCGTTCCCGCCTGACCCCTGGGCACCGCGCAGGCTCTCTCTGGAGCTCCAGCCTCCCGGCGGCACTTACAGCCCTCACCTTCCACGGGGCTCGGGAAAATCCCAGAGAGCAAGGGAAGAGAAGTGCATGGACCAACCTAAGAGGCCTTCAGCAAAGCATCACATTTAAAAAAATTTATATATATTTTATTGTTTTTTTTACAGACAGGAAGAGAGAGGGATAGAGAGTTAGAAATATCGATGAGAGAGAGACATCGATCAGCTGCCTCCTGCACACCCCCTCCTGGGGATGTGCCCGCAACCACGGCATATGCCCTTGACCGGAATCGAACCTGGGACCCTTCAGTCCGCAGGCCGACGCTCTATCCACTGAGCCAAACCGGTTAGGGCAAAAGCATCACATTCTTTTCTTTTTAAATCTATTTTATTTATTTATTTATTTTTTAGAGAGAGGAAGGGAAAGGGATAGAGAGCTAGAAACACCGACCAGCTGCCTCCTGCACACCCCCTCCTGGGGATGTGCCTGCAACCACGGCACATGCCCTTGACCGGAATCGAACCTGGGACCTTTCAGCCCGCAGGCCGACGCTCTATCCACGGAGCCACACCGGTGAGGGCTGATCGCACACATTCTGAACGGCTCTGCTTTTGGTTCCGGACAGGACTACCTCGATATCAAAAGGATGATTTTCCCGAGGTTTTACTTCCTGAGCAACGAGGAGCTTCTCGCCATTCTGGCCGGGAACAGCAACCCCGAGTCTGTGCAGGTGAGCCCGCCGTCCCCCGCTCGGCGGCCTTGTCCCCCCACACTGCGTCGCCGGGGCCCTCTGTGGCTGACACCCCTTTCTGCCCCACAGCCTCACCTCGGGAAATGCTTTGAGAACATCAAGCACCTGGTGATCTGGAAGCAGGAGATCGGCCCTCCCACCGTGATGATGCTCATCTCCGAGGAAGGGGAGGCGCTGGTGCTGCCCAAGTAGGACCTTTACTTACAAAACCTCTGCTTGGCTGTTGTGGGGTCAAACCCTGGGTTCAAAATAAGACCCCCGGAAGGCTGATGATTGATTATAAAAAACAAAACAAAAAAAACAGGCAAGGGTTTATTGAAAAACTGGCCAGGACAGCCGCGAGAGCGCCACACGCAGGTGGGCCCCACACAACCCGCACTGTTCCAGGTGTAGGCAGTCTTTTTAAAGGTCCAAACCACAGGAATTTTCCTCTGTTCTAAATTCTAAAGCCCTGGGAACATTGGAATGCGGCCCTATCTTGCAATAGCCGATAATACAGAAGCAGAGCTCAGCAGTTAATCTCTAAAGGTTATCTACAGTTTCTAACCCATGAAGCTACTGAGTCAGTGGGAATCAACCTCCTGTATTTCTGGTCCCAGGCACAGGAAAATTGCCTTAGCCTCCAGGTCTCCACCTGGAAGCTGAGGTAACTAGGGCGCGGAAGCCGGAATAGCACGGTTAAAATTCAAACAGCATTTTACCCAAGTATGGTTGCTACCATATTTCATTGGCCACGTCTGACAGATCATAGAAGTTTTAAAGCAACTATTTCTTTAAAAAAAAAAAAAAAACGTACTTTTGCCGGGACCGGTTTGGCTCAATGGATAGAGCGTCGGCTTGGGGACTGAAAGGTCCCGGGTTTGATTCCGGTCAAGGGCATGTACCTTGGTTGCGGGCATATCCCCGGTGGGGGGTGTGCAGGAGGCAGCTGATCGATGACTCTCTCTCATCGATGTTTCTAGCTCTCTATCTCTCTCCCTTTCTCTCTGTATAAAATTAATAAAATATATTAAAAAAATACATACTTTTTATTGATTATAGAAAGAGGAAGGGAGAGAGAGAGAGAGAGAGAGAGAGAGAGAGAGAGAGAGAGAGAGAGAGAAACATCAACGATGAGAAAAATCATTGATGGGCTGCCTCCTGCACGCCCCTCACTGGGGATTGAGCCCAAGACCGGGCCTGTGCCCTTGACGGGGAACCGAACCGTGACCTCTTGGTTCCTAGGTCAATGCTTAATCACAGAGCCACACTGGCCAGGCAGCCAACTGTTTGTTCAAAGATAACATGCTTGTCTGGAATTTACCTTTCCACATGTATATCACGATAGCATGACCCAGAAAGCCAGCACGAGATTCTGTGGTTGAATCTAGGCAGGAAGGAAACTTGCTTGTGATTGTTGGTGCTTCTCCTTCCAATTCTTCTGTGGCCTCTGGTTTGGTCCTGGCTCCCTGGCAGTTCTGACTGGCTAGGTCCTTCTGTTAACACCGGTCCAACCTGCCAGCCGTGGCCCCGGGCTCCAGATGGGCATGGTTTCAAAAAAATGCCATTCCCAAGTCTTGCCGTCCACCAAGATCCCTCCCTGGCCCCTGATCTAGGCTTCATATTCCAAAGATCCAGCGAGGAATCAAAAAATGCTTTGTCCTATAATCTACCTATTCTGTAAATTCGTATTTAACGGAACTGTTCCTTTTGTAACTTGATGTTGATGTCAGAATTTCCTAAAGCTAAGTGATAGGTTTTTGTTTTGTTTTGTTTTTTTGCATAGTTTTCCAAATTAAGATCTAGAAAAATAAGAGCTGTTACAGAACTAGAGAACTTTGGCCTGTGAGTGGTATAAGTAGAGGAGGAGACTTGGTCTCCAAGCTTATCACGGGAATGAAAGAGGAGGAGTAAAGACAATCCTCCACATGGTTATTTCTTAAATTGCAGGAAAATTCGTGTGAGAAATGCTGTAGAACAGTGGCTGGAAAATGTAGAGAAGAGCATGTTTGATGTGCTGAAAAAGTAAGTACAATGTTCAGATCCTAAAATAAATATATGGGATATATATGTATTATATGTATTATATATATATATATATATATATATATATATATATATATATATATATATATAACATAATATATTATAGGATCTATATGTATTATATGGGATATATACATATATCCTATATAATAATATACATATGGGATACACACATACATACACATATAAGATATATATATAAATAAAAGGGTAATATGCAAATTGACCAAAGGACAGAATGACTGGAAAGCCTGTGGCCCCTCGCCCCAGCCGGCCCACCCACCAGCGGGCACCCCCACCCCGATTGGGGGTGACACGTCCTGGATCCCTCTCCTCCTGCTTCCACGTGTGTGGGCGAACGTGAGGCTCCCTCTGTGGGTAGCATCTGTGGTCCTTTACCGACAGCCTCAGCTTTGGACAGGGGCCTCTCTCTGGTGTCTCCACCCTGGCTGGGTTCCAGCGCCTTCGCTCCCCTCCCCCCGCCCCCGTGGGCCCGAGAGTGCTAACACTGCCCCCTGCTGCAGACCCCAGTGTCCACCATCCCTGCGGGTCCCCCTAACCCTGCCCTCATCCCCGGGAGACCCTTTGCGTGCGCTGTGTCCTGCCATGTTGTTAGATTTATTTTGATCACTCTCATACTCGGACTCATGCCTGCCATCGTACCACGTGGTTTCCAACAACGGCTCTGGGTTCGGCCCCATTGGAAGCGTGCAGGTGATGCTCACGAGGAGTTTAAGGGTTACAAAATAGCCCTGAACCAAGGCCCTATTGATGCTATTTGGACCCATGCATAACCTACAACTGGACCCAACAAGAACCAGAGTTTCCCCATGAACTTGTCCTATCTGATCATTAACTGGCCCCAATCAATGGTCAGGTGTAAGTAATAGAAACACGTTTGTTTGTTTGCAGATTTGTGAGGGAAGGCATTGAAGACTGGAGCCACCAGCCGTTCTCCATGTGGGTGGTGTCCCACCCCGGACAGGTGGTGCTCACCGTGGTAAGCCAGGACTGCGTTGAACCTCCACTCACGCAAATGCACACGCACCACCCACAGACGCCATGCACACACTTAGCTGGTAGGATTGACGCTCCCGTGACCACGCTGACATTTTCCTTTTCCAGAGCCAGATCATATTTTACAACGATTGCACCAGAAGCTTCGCGAGCTCTCAGCCGAGAGAAGAGCTGGAGGAAGTCCACGCCAGTCTGGTCCGGCACCTGGGGCAGATCTCAGAGCTGGTGGTGCTGGACACGAGCAACGCTCGGACGAAAGCTGTGCTGGGGGCGCTGATCACCCTCTACGTCCACTGCAAAGACATCGTGCAGGATTTACTGAATAAAAGCGTCTTCAGCGAGGAGGATTTTGAGTGGACAAGGTAGGTAGACCTAGACCCTAACTCTGCATGAAACCATCTCTCACCTACACACCGCTGGGTACATTAATTCTGTTCCCCAAACCTTGTCAAACCTGAATTTCTTATTTGAAACCATAGGGATGATGCTTTCATAAATCCTCTGTTTATGTGACATCACACCAAGAAGCATGAGGCAGCAAGGCCTTTTTCTCCAAGGGATAAGCACTCGTGTGTGTGTGTGTGTGTGTGTGTGTGTGGTCTTCATAATGCTCATTTCAGTGGCTGACACAGTCATTGTAAATTTCCCATTACTTTTCATTTATTTTAATGTTTTGATTTCTGTTTTCAACCAATGTTTTATTTTTTTATTTTTTTAATAAATATATTTTATTGATTTTTTTTACAGAGAGGAAGGGAGAGGGATAGAGAGCTAGAAACGTTGATGAGAGAGAAACACCAACCAGCTGCCTCTTGCACACCCCCTACCTTTTGAGCCATTTATTTTGAGCCTCATACAGATTGTCTCTTCTTGGTGATTAATGGCTGTGTGTGTGTGTGTGTGTGTGTGTGTGTGTGACAGAGAGAGAGAGAGAGAGAGAGAGAGAGAGAGAGAGAGAGAGAGAGAGAAAGGCAGGCACAAGAAACAGGTACCTGCCATAACCGGTTTGGCAGGGGATGTGCCCGCAACCAATGTACATGCCCTTGACCGGAATCGAACCTGGGACCTTTCAGTCCGCAGGCCGACGCTCTATCCACCGAGCCACACCGGTTTCGGCTCAACCAATGTTTTATTTTCAATCTTGATTATGTTTCCACATTAAAAACAAAACAAAACAAAACAAAACAACACCTAAAGATGATTTTGCCCCTATGACACGCGCCCTGAACTCCCGCCCGCAGGCACCTGCAGTACAGGTGGAACGAGAAGCAGATGCTGTGCTACGTGTTCCAGGGCGAGGCCCGGTTCGCCTACGGCTACGAGTACCTGGGCTGCACGCCGCGGCTGGTCGTCACGCCGCTCACCACCCGCTGCTGGCTCACGCTCACCGGGGCGCTGCACCTGCACCTGGGCGGCTGCCCCTCGGGGCCCGCGGGCACGGGCAAGACCGAGAGCATCAAGAACCTGGCCAGGGTGAGTGGCCGCAGACCCCAAATCCGGCTTCCCCTTGGCCGTGAACTCGAGCAGCACCCGACGGGGACGCCGATTCCGTGAAGAGGTTCTCAGCGTGGGACGGGCCCGCTCGGTCCCTCAGACCACGCTCCGGCCCGTTCCCGGGGGGCTGTTGGGTGTCGGGAGCTGTGCTTTGTGTCTGCCCGGAGCGCCAGTGGACCAACCAGCCGGCCTGCGAATGGCTTTATTCCCTTTTCCCTTCCTGCAAGAGCGACCCATTTACTTTGAGCCTCATACAGATTATTGTCTCATCTTGGTGATGAATGGCTGTGTGTGTGTGTGTGTGTGTGTGTGTGTGAGAGAGAGAGAGAGAGAGAGAGAGAGAGAGAGAGAGAGGGGCAGGCAGGCACAAGAGACAGAGGTATCTGATGAAAGGATAAAGCCCATGACATCACTGGAATTCTCTTTTCTTAGTTTTATTTATTTTGGTTTTTAAAAAATATATATTTTATTTATTTATTTATTTTTTACAGAGAGGAAGCGAGAGGGATAGAGAGTGTGAAACATCCATGAGAGAGATACGTCGACCAGCTGCCTCCTGCACACTTCCTACTGGGGACGTGCCTGCAACCAAGGTACATGCCCTTGACCGGAATCGAACCCGGGACCCTTCAGTCCGCAGGCCGATGCTCTATCCACTGAGCCAAACCGGTTTTGGCTCTTTTCTTGGTTTTTGTTTGTTGGTGTGTTTAAAAAATGACCTTAATGCTCTACATACAAATCGGACTGTTATGACATGGGTGCCTTCCGCTCAGTTCCGCTGTGTGAGTGTTTAAATCTGGTGAGCGATTCATCTCTAATTGCAGACGTTTTCTCAAAAGAACGAAGACACTCACTCCTCGGGAAGCGTCCACCTTAGTTGTTCTGGGTCATCAGTTAAGAACTTTGTTGAAATGACATTTCTGTTTCCCAGTCCTTAGGTAAACACTGCGTGGTCTTCAACTGCTTTGAGGATCTGGATTATAAGGTAAAGCTCACAGACTCGGGTAGAAATAGTATGCAAATGAAATCATTCATTGGGGATTGGAAGAACAAGAAAGAGGTCTTAGAGGTATATTGAGTAGTAATAGAACTGTAAATGCTATTAATAATTTAAACTAATAGAATAGAAATTTAAAAGGTGACATAAACTAAAAAACATTATACAGTTTGCCTTCATTCAACTGAACTACTTCTGGAGATTGTGTTTTTCAAACTTTTTGATATATATATGTGTGTGTGTGTATGTGTGTGTGTGTAGATTTTTATATATGTAGAGATATATATATATATATGTAGATTTATATATGTGTAGATTTATATATGTAGATTTATATATATGTAGATTTATATATGTAGATTTATATATATGTAGATTTATATATGTGTAGATTTATATTTATATGTGTAGATTTATATTTATATGTGTAGATTTATATTTATATGTGTAGATTTATATTTATATGTGTAGATTTATATATATGTAGATTTATATGAGCATATCAGTACTCTTAATTTGTTATATATATAACAGGCTCTTCCACGTATGGTGATGGTTCGGAACTATGGCCGAACCTGAATTTGATGAGGGAGGGAGAGGGGATGAGGGAGGGAGGTCCCCAGATGCTGTCTGGCCTGACCGTGGCTTTGTCTTGTTGAGCCTTGTTTGGCTGCCAACACTTACAGATCAACAGATGCCGGTCCCTGAACACTGGCCATCTGGCCGCTCCGGGCTGGCACCATCACAGGTGGCACAGCCGAGGAGCAGCGGGTGCTGTAGCTCCCCTCCCCTCTGGCCAGTTCCCTGACCCTCCTCCCCAGCAGCAGCCCCGTGTAATCCCCGAGTCCTGTTCTGCCCCAGGACCAGGAGCGTCTTCCTCCACCATCCGCAGGACCATTGTCCTAATGACCTTCCCGGGAGCGGGGCTCTGCCGGGCACCAGCCCAGGAGCCCGAGCTGCCCAGGGAGCATCCGAGTTGGCGATGGGTGTTCAGGCGTCAGAGACGGGCACTCGCCTTGCCCAGCAGCTGGCAGACCGGACTTGACACCAGAAGCCCGAATCGGGGAGGATTGGCAAACGGCATTCGCTTGGTCTGGGTGAATGGGAAGAAGATGCAAAAATGAACATCTAAGTCAGACTGTTCACCTGCCAAGCAACTTTCAGTAATCTCTTATTTTATTATTTTTATTTTTTAAGATAATGGGGAAATTCTTCTTGGGACTAGTCCAGTCGGGAGCGTGGTTTTGCTTCGATGAATTCAATCAGATCGACGTGGAAATCCACTCAGTGATTGGCTCCCTGATCCAAACCATTAAGGCGGCCAAAGACAGCTACTCCGTCAGGTACCGTCTGCGCTTATGGTCACGGCCACGAAGTGTTCTCTTCCACAGGAAGTGCTGGGGGCGGGCGGCCCGCTTACCCATCACGTTTCATTTTTTTATTTTTAATTTATTGATTTTTTTACAGAGAGGAAAAGAGAGAAAGAGGGACAGAGAGCTAGAAACATCGATGAGAGAGAAACATCCACCAGCTGCCTCCTGCATCTTCTCCCCCCTCCCCCCACGGGGGATGTGCCCACAACCAAGGTACATGCCCTTGGCCGGAATTGAACCTGGGACCTTTCAGTCCGGAGGCTGACGCTCTATCCACTGAGACACCCTGGTTTCAGCTCATGTTTCTTTTTCTTGGCAGATAATGGGACAAAATATTTGAGTTGAAATGTTCTCGGTGCCTTTTCATCTTCCCATGTTTCATTTGAAGAAACCCAAGTTTTTATTCTGTCGTACCCTCCCCCCCCCCCGTAATTCTGCTTCTTTTTCCAAAGCGAATTATGCTGGTCACACACCTGAGCCCCCTCTTACCCCGAGACTCTGGGTTAACGGACTTTGTGGGAAAGTCTTGTAGCGATGGCCTGTGTGTGTGAGCTTGCTGATGTTTACTAACCCAAGTGAGAACGATTTTCCCTCTGGGTCAGTCCAGGAACTGGCAGAATCGCCTTCGTGGGCACAGCGGGGCATGTGGGTCTGACACGCCTGGGCCCACCCAACATTGCTAACGCGAGCTAGTGGGCATCCACTTCTCACGTCAGTGATGGAAGGGCATCATCGATCACCTGCTTCCACACGCCCCCGTCTGGGTGGGCGTGTGCCCTGACCGGGAATCAGACTATGGCCTCCTGGTTCATAGACCCATGATCAGCCCCTGAGCCACGCCGGCCGGGCCCAGTTGTAGTCTGAACAAACTTTGGCCCAGAGCCCTCTCGGTGATGCCGCTGGCATGTCTTGTAGGTTTGTCCTGGAAGGGAAAAAAGTCCGCATCAACCTGTCCTGTGCGGTGTTCATCACCATGAACTTCGGGTAAGCGTCCGCTCATCGGCAGGCCTGAGCCTGTAGCTGCCATTCGCCCGCCTCTGCTGTCCGAGCCCCTCCGCCAGTCACACTGTCACCATCATCACCACCATCATCACCGTCACCATCTCCACCATCACCATCACCATTGTCACCACCATCATCACCATCACCATCACCACCATCACCATCTCCACCATCACCATCACCATTGTCACCACCATCATCACCGTCACCATCTCCACCATCACCATCTCCACCATCACCATCACCATTGTCACCGTCACCGTCACCACTATCATCATCACCATCAACACCATCACCATCACCATCTCCACCATCACCATCACCATCACTATCTCCACCATCACCATCTCCACCACCACCATCACTGTCACCACCACCATCACTGTCACCATCAACACCATCACCATCAACACCATCACCATCACCATCGTCACCGTCACCACCACCACCATCAACACCATCACTGTTACCACCATCACCACCACCACCACCACCACCACCACCATCATCATCACCACCACCATCACCACCACCACCACCACCATCACCACCACCACTATCACCACCATCACCATCATCACCATCACCTTCACCATCACCATCAACACCATCAACACCATCACCACCATCACCATCACCACCACCACCATCACCACCATCACCACCATCACCATCATCACCATCACCTTCACCATCACCATCAACACCATCACCATCACCATCACCATCTCCACCATCACCACCACCACCATCACCACCATCACCATCACCATCACCTTCACCACCACCACCACCACCACCACCACCATCACCACCACCATCACCACCACCACCATCACCACCATCACCACCATCACCATCGTCACCATCACCTTCACCATCACCATCACCACCATCACCATCACCATCACCATCACCATCACCATCACCACCACCATCACCACCACCATCACCACCATCACCACCATCACCACCACCATCACCACCACCACCATCACCACCACCACCATCACCACCACCACCACCACCATCACCACCACCATCACCACCATCACCACCACCACCATCACCATCACCTTCACCACCACCACCACCACCACCACCACCACCACCACCATCACCACCATCACCACCACCACCATCACCACCATCACCACCATCACCATCGTCACCATCACCTTCACCATCACCATCAACACCATCACCATCACCATCACCATCACCATCACCACCACCACCACCATCACCACCACCATCACCACCATCACCACCACCATCACCACCATCACCACCACCACCATCACCACCACCATCACCACCACCACCACCATCACCACCACCACCATCACCACCACCACCATCACCACCACCACCACCATCACCACCACCACCACCATCACCACCACCACCACCATCACCACCACCATCACCACCATCACCACCACCACCACCATCACCACCACCACCATCACCACCATCACCATCACCATCACCTTCACCACCACCACCACCACCACCACCACCATCACCACCATCACCACCACCACCATCACCACCATCACCACCGTCACCATCGTCACCATCACCTTCACCATCACCATCAACACCATCACCATCACCATCACCATCACCATCACCATCACCATCACCACCATCACCACCATCACCACCACCATCACCACCATCACCACCACCACCACCATCACCACCACCACCATCACCACCACCACCATCACCACCACCACCATCACCACCACCACCACCACCATCACCACCATCACCATCACCATCACCATCACCGGCAGCTGCTGCTCTGCACCTGTCCGCAGGCACAGTGCCCTGTGTGCTTTGGAGCAATGGCGTTTCCCTTCAGGGCAGCCAGGCCGAGAGGGAAAAGAAGGGGAGGGGAAGGGAAGGGGAGGGGAGAGGAACAGGAGGGGAGGGGAGGAAGGGGAGGAGAGAGGAGGGGAGGATGAGCAGTGAGTTGCAGAGCTGGTGAGAGGAGCAGAGGACTGAGGAGGCAGCGCTCACTGGGGTGGAGGTGGTGATGATGGTGCAGATGAGCTGGGAGGAGGCACAGGAAGACACGATCATGAATGAAGCTTTGTGAGATGAAAAGTAGGATAGAAACTACCTCCTAAACCTGTTTCCCAGTGGTGGGCAAACTCATCGGTCCACAGAGCCCAATACCAACAGCACCACGATGGACATGTCTTTGGAGAGCCACACTTTTTACACTTAAACTTCTAACACCACTTCTTCAATACAGACTCGCCCAGGCCGTGGTGTTTTGTGGAAGAGCCACCCTCAGGGGGCCAAAGAGCCGCCTGTGGCTCGAGGCCCACGGTTTGCCGACCACTGGCTGTTTTCAGACACAGATCGCACAGATGCCAGGGGGATTTTGGGGGGTTACATTACGGGGCGCCGCGTGTGGGAAGCTAAAACGGGGTGCTTCCCCTCCTTGTTTTCCCACGCCCTTCAGGCACAAGGGCCACGTCGACCTCCCCAACACGCTGAAGTCCCTCTTCCGGCCGGTAGCCATGGTGGTGCCCCACTCCCACATGATCGCCGAGACCAGCCTGCTGGCCGTCGGCTTCCAGGCGGCAAAGTCGCTCTCCAGGAAGCTGGTGACCCTGTACCAGCTGGCCAGCAAGCAGCTCTCCCAGCAGGTGCCGCGTCCCTCCGGGGCGGGTGATGGGGCAAAGCTTGTTTTACTTCATTTACTTTATTTATCCTCATCCAAGGCTAAGTTCCCATTGGTTTTTAGAGAGTGGAAGGCTGAGGGAGGGACAGAAACAGCGATGTGAGAAGAGCACACTGATTGGTTGCCTCCCGCACACGCTCCAGCCAATGCTGGGGACCGAGGCACCTGCCCATGGCCAGAATCGAACCCGTGACCCGTCGGTTCTCGGGCCAACGATCTATCCACCGAGCCAAACCGGCCAGGGCTTAATGCCATGTTTAGTACCTTTAATACTTATTAAATGTTTTAAAAAAATTTTTCTTTATTGATTAAGGTATCACATATTTGTCCTCAGCCCCCCATTCCAATCCCCCCTCCACTCATGCCCCCACCCCCTATTGTCCATGACCACCGGTTAGGCTCCTATGGGTGCACATAAGTCCTTTGGTGGATCTCTCCCTTTTATCCCCAGCCTCCCTCTGAGGTCCGACAGTCTGGCCCATGGCTCCTTGAATCCGGGTCTGTTATTGTTCGTCAGTCTATGTTGTTCACCATTTCCCCCTAGATGAGTGAGATCATGTCCTACTGGAAATATACTTATAAGAATTAAAGATGAGACAAGCAATAATGGTTATGCTGAAAGGCATATGAATCCATCTGTAGAGAGTTTCTTTCTGGGCCACCAGTTCTTTTGAGACCCAGTTTCAATGTCAAACAGTTCCTTATGTGTACATGTCAGCCATGATATTTCAGTTCTGGATGGTGGGCAAATGGTGGCAATGCAGGTCCGACCCTCTACTGTTCTTTTTTTTTAATTTTTATTTTATTTTATTGATTTTCCACAGAGAGGAAGGGAGAGGGTGAGAGAGTTAGAAACGTCAATGAGAGAGAAACATCGACCAGCTGCCTCCTGCATACCCCCTACTGGGGATGAGCCCACAACCAAGGAACATGCCCTTGACCGGAGTCGAACCTGGGACCTTTCAGTCCGCAGACCGACACTCTATCCACTGAGCCAAACCGGTTTCAGCCCTCTACTGTTCTTGAAGGAGACTTTTAGGAAGCCTTCGAGGCAAATGGAGCTCATGTGACTGTTCCTGTTCACAGCAGCGGTGACCAGGGCCTTATTGCCCAATTATTTTATATTCCTTCCAAAACGTTAGTCCTTCAACTATTTCCATGTTTGATAGGATCACTATAACTTTGGCCTGAGGTCTCTGAAGACAATTATAATAATTGCGGGAAAGAAGAAGCAGAAGTTTAAAAGGTCAGTGGAATGTTGAATTGTTGGGTCCAAGGGAATTACACAGCACTGGGCACATAACCGGGGGAACATTTCTCTACTGCAGTGTTTCCCAAACTTCTGACATATGTGTACCCCTCGTCCTCATGAGAACGTAGAATTCGGCGCAGCTAAGCACGGTGCAGTGCACATCCCCACCAAACTCCGGTGCAACGCGTGCCCCCACCAGACTCTTCCCGTACCCCTGGGGGTGCGCGCACCACACTTTGGGAAACTCCGCACTGCAAAGCGAGGTCTTTCCCGGGAGAGGATGGGAAAGGAGTCAGGTGGTTCCCGGGGTCCCCAGCCGTGGACCCGGGCACGCTCTCCCTCTCCTCCAGCTATTTAATAAATCATTATGTTCTTTTTCATCGGCCATTCGTTAGCATGAACTCATTTCTGCTATTTGCAGCCACACACACACACACACACACACACACACACACACGCGCGTGCGCACACACACACACATGCCCTAACCGGTTTGGCTCAGTGGATAGAGCGTCGGCCTGTGGAATCAAGGATCCCAGGTTATATTCTGGTCAAGGGCATGTACCTTGGTTGCGGCTGGATCGATGTTTCTCTCTCATTGATGTTTCTAACTCTCTATCCCTCTCCCTTCCTCTCTGAAAACAAAACAAAGCAAAACAAAACAAAACAAAAACCAAAAAAACCCACCAATGAAATATATATTTTAAAAAAATATTTTTTAAAACACACACAAACAAGTAAACAAAAACAACAATAACCCTCTCTTGATGCAATGCCCATCCCTGAATCAGCAGCTGGGCATGGCATGGCCTTGACTTTGCAGAGAAGTCAGAGCCCATCCCTGGAGCTGGGACCAGACAGACCCGCTCCAGACCTCAGAGAGGGAGAGAGGGCGGGTGGGGGGGCGGGGGGATTGGCCACCTCTCCAAAGGAGCATGAATGCTCTTTCGTGCCAGCCGCACACGCCCGCTCGCCCACTCATTCCCTTTGCTTCCTGTCCTCCCAGCGACACCAGGGAGAGCCTCTCCGAGGCCGAGGAGACGCTGATCATCATCGAGGCCGTGCGAGAGGCCAGCCTGCCCAAGTGCACGGCCAACGACGTCCTCCCCTTCGAGAGCATCATCAGCGACACGTTCCCTGGAGCCACCGTGCCCAAGGCCAGCCAGGCGGCCCTGGAGGTGAGACCACCTGCAGGAAGCTCTCACCCATGACTTCGAGGTGGAGGATTGAGGGAAGGAACGAGCCGAGGCCGGTGTGTGGCTCAGTGGATAGAGCGTCGGCCTGCGGACTGAAGGGTCCCAGGTTCGATTCCGGTCAAGGGCATGTACATTGGTTGCGGGCACATCCCCATTGGGGGGTGTGCGGGAGCCTCTTTCATCAATGTTTCTAGCTCTCTATCCCTATCCCTTCCTCTCTGTAAAAAATCAATAAAATTATACACACACACACACACACACACACACATATATATACATATAATTTTTTTTTTAAGAGAGAAGGAACACGCCATGGATGATAACAATCGCACTTCTTTCTGAATCGCTCTATTCGTGTTATCACATTGGGGGTGGGAGGGGCAGAGATACTTGGAGATCTGTGTCTCCCCTGCCCTGTGCTATTGGGGGTGGGGGGGAAGGGGGGATTGGCTGGGAGGAAGGCTCCTATACGTTTTGTTTGCTCCAAGGGAGTCCCCCTCTCTCTTCCCTTCCACCAACACCCCCCCACCCCCCAAAATCAGGGCAAAGTCATTTTTTTACTGTAGGGTAAACACTCGTACTGTGGTTACAGCTAGTTCTGAAGCATATTTTAAAGCATGAGTTCTTAACCATAGGGAGGATCTGTGGATTTGCTACTGGAGCCTCCAAATACAAAATCTGGATGTACTGCCCAGCCTGTGTGGCTCAGTGGTTGAGCGTCGAGCCATGAACCAGGAAGTCACAGTTGGATTCCTGGTCAGGGCACGTGTCTGGGTGGCAGGCTCCATCCCCAGTGTGGGATACGTAAGAGGCAGCAGATCAGCGATTCTCTCTCATCATTGGTGTTTCTATCTCTCCCTCTCCCTTCCTCTATGATAGGGGTGTCGAACTCAATCAGAGAAGGGGCCAAAATCTAAAATCCAACCTAAATCGCGGGCCGAATGGTTTACTGAACAGTCATAAACTGTCATTGTGATGGAAACGCAGCGGAGTGCAGTGATGACAACGCGGTGCGGGCCACATTGCAAGGCCTGGCAGGACGGATTTGGCCCGCGGGCCTTGTGTTTGACACATGTGGTCTATGAAATCAATAAAAGTGTATTTTTTAAAAAATTTTGGATATATTGTATTTTGGGTGGAAAAATAGGTTCTCATTATTCTCGGGTTGGCAAACTAAAAATTTAAGAACCATGATAGGTCAGTATTTGGTACCTAGTTAAGAGAGATTTTTTTTTTTTTTTTTTTACGATTATACACCAAGAGTTTGATTTGCGGTGCATTTTAAATTAACGTGTTTCTTTTCTTCTAGAAAGTGGTCTTGATTGCAACACAGCTGTTGGGCTTACAGCAATGGCCAGCTCAGAAAGAGAAAATCATACAGTTCCACAACCAACTGCAGGTGAGTGTAGGATGGCGTGGTAGCCGTTCTCTGCCCGGCGTTTTAAAATGTCTGATCCAGGAGAACACAGCAGGAACTGACAAGGGAGAGCCGTTGCCACTGCTCTTCAAAGTGAAGTGGTTTATTGATTAACTGTTTACCTAGACTTTGTTTGATCCTTCTCAACAAATTAATCTTTTCAACCTGCATCCCCTTAATTGTAAACAACAACAACAAACAACAACAACAACAACAAAAACCCACTGCAAACGTGGTGTGAAGTGTCTACATTCCACTAGTCTTCCTTTCCTGAGTTGCCACCTGGAAGAACATCAGACTGTGCATTTCCCTGGTTACTAGTACAATTGTACTTCCTGTGATGGCTTTACTAGAGGCCTGGCCTGCAGGATCGGGCCAAAACCGGCTCTCTGACATCCCCCAAGGGGTCCCAGGTTACGAGAGGGTGCAGGCCAGGCTGAGGGACCCCACCGGTGCACCACTGGGGTGGGGGAGGGATGGGGGAGGTTGGCCAGCCGGGGAGGGACTGGAGGGGGGCTCCAGGGCATGCCTGGCCCAGCTCACTCAGTCCTGATTGACTTGACCCCAGCAGCAAGCTAACCTACTGGTTGGAGCATCTGTCCCTGGTGGTTAGTGCACATCATAGTGACTGGTCAGCTGCCCATCTGGTGGTCAGTGCACGTCCTGGCAAGTGGCTGAGTGTCCTTAACATACCATTAACATAGTATGCTTTGATTGAATGGCTGACTGGTCGACTGGACACTTAGCCTATCAAGCTTTTATTATATAGGATCAGAGGCCTGATGCACAAAATTCAAGCAAGGGTAGGCCCTTGCAGCCCCGGCTTCCGAATGGCCAGCCGTTCAGTCGATTTGCATATCACGCTTTTATTATTATAGATAGATTAGCCTTTTGGATTTTCTGTGACTTGCCAGATTATGTAACGTACTCGCTTTTCAATTGGCTTATTGGTCTTTTTCTTAGTAAAAGTAGATTTTTCACCGAAACTGATTTGGCTCAGTGGATAGAGCGTCAGCCTGCAGACTGAGAGGTCCCAGGTTAGATTCCGGTCAAGGGCATGTACCTTGGTTGCGGGCACATCCCCAGTAGGGGGTGTGCAAAAGGCAGCTTATCGATGTTTCTCTCTAATCGATGTTTCTAACTCTCTATCCCTCTTTCACCCTTCCTCTCTGTAAAAAATCAATAAAATATGTTTTTTAAAAAAATTTTTAAAGTAAATTTTTCATGACATAATGTCATAATTTTGGATTGCCTCTTTGCATAGCCAATTCATTCTCTAAGTCTTGGCATTTGAGGAACATTCATGGAGTCCAGATGTGCAAGAGACTTTGTTAATGCAATAAAATTTACGGATCCTTTTGTAATAGTGGTTTGTGCTTTTGTGCCTGATTTTTCAAAATATTTTTTTATCTCATGAAGGTAGGGAGGGAGATAGGAATTACGGAGGCTACCATGGAAAGGATAATCAGAACACAGAGATAAGATGGAGCCAAGGAAAGCCCAGATAAATTTTATTACAGAATCCCATTGTAGGGAAAGGTACAGGAAGAAAAGAGAATTGAAAAGTAAGATCAAGTGAGAAAAATCTCAGTTGGAAATTACTATTTGAATTTTAAACTTAGATTTCTGGCCATAGCTGGTGTGGCTTGTGGGTAGAGCATTGGTCTGCGGACTAACTGACCAACAGGTGATCCATGAGGTCCAAAAGGTTGGGGGCTGCTGGACTAAAGGGTCCCAGGTTCGATTCTGGTCAAGGACACATGCCCTGGTTGTGGGCCTGATCCCCAGTAGGGGACGTGCAGGAGGCAGCTGATCCATGATTCTCTCTCCCCATTGATGTTTCTCTCTCTCTCTCCCTCTCCCTCTCCCTTCCTCTCTGAAAAATCAATAAAAATATATTTAAAATAAATAAAATTAGATTTCTGGTGATTTAAAACATTAGCCTAGTCAATAAAGACAACCCAGATTACAATAGATTGAACAACAATTTGAAGGAAGGATTTTGTGGATACAGTTAGAGATGTGTTTACAAATAAGAACCTTCAAGTTTCAGCTCAGTTGAACCATGAGGAAACCAAACCTAAGCCATAATTCTGCCATTTTGTTCTAGGCTTGTGTTGGTGTGATGCTAGTGGGCCCCACAGGTGGAGGAAAGACGACCGTGAGGAGAATTTTAGAGAGAGCATTGATGCTTTTACCGATCCAAGAGTTAGTATCCACTGAAACAAGAATCTCTATTTCACAGGTACATGTTCCATGAAATACAGTGTTTCTCTGTTCGTTAAGATCGTATTTCATGCTTCCGTTAGAGCGTCGTGTTCTCTCTACGTAAGTTGTTGTGTCCTTGTTAAACGCATCGATAGGACTTTTGTATTTAGGAATCATTTGAAGTGAATGGGACTGTTTTTCATTTGAATCTCAAACTGGTCATGGCAAGTGGAAACTGCAAAGATTGACTTGTGTGTTTATTGTATGTCTACTCACCTTGTTTAATGGAGTGGTAGGTTATCATTTTTTTAGACAATCAGTTGGATCATTTTCCAATGAATATAATTTTGTACCTTTCCTAATATTTATGTAACTTATATTCTTCACTTACTGCATTGATTTGCCCTTCAAGACAATGTTAACCGTAATATCTTATTTCTTACTTTATCTGGAATGCAGTTAATATTTTATGCATTTAATATATTTACTCTTGGTCTATGATACATATCCATTATCATACTTTAATATTATCATTTTTTATAGTAATACTTTTTTTTCTGTTCTCATTATACTTTGGTTTTTGACTCCTAGAATTTACGAAATGATTTTAGCATCTACTTTTTCTATTTTAATTGGTTCATGTACTAAGCTGTGTTGATAGATTTACTAATGTTAAATTATCCTGGAATTCCTAGAATAACTCCTACTTTTCCATGATATATTTTTATTCAATATAAAGTCAGACTCCAATACATAGTGTATACTTCAGTTATCTAATATGAAGGGATATTAACGTAATAGCCAGGATTTTTAGAATAAATGACTTGAGCCTTATGGCTGATTTTAATAACATCCATTCTTGATAGTTCCTTGGATATTGCTTTCTCTACAATGGACCTTTCTTTGGAGTGAAAGATCTCTCCAAAAACCCTCTGGTAACAGCCAGGCAGAAAAATTAAAGAATTGCACTGATGCTGGAGGGATGAATGGGCCCAGACTTCCCAGACACAGGAGGGAGGGAGGCTCCTGCAATGACCCTCAGAGAAGGGATGTTCTGAGCCCGGCCCAGAAGGTCGGAATGGGGCACATCACGTTGGCATAGAGTTACATTTCTCGGGCTCCAAAGTCCCCTTCCCTTCAGCCCGTGTCCAGAGTGTCCGTTACATGTCGGAGCTGGGGTGCTAGAGCACTCCGGTTGATTCCAGTCCATTGATCCATACGGGAGCCCCAGGTGACCACAAGCCCTGAGGGCCTGGGGGAGGCACCCCTGCCCTGAGAAGAGAGACTTCCTCGCCGGAAGCTCATAGGTTTCGGTTTCACATGCTCCCAGGGGCCACGCCCATTCGGACTTGCTTTCAGGTGAGATTGACAGGCACCTGTCCACGCCACTCAGCTCTAACTGGGCATGCACCCGCCTGGTTTTCCCCTTCCCCCTGTCCTGTTGAATGACAGCCAGGTTGTTACGGTGGCATCCGTACTGTCGTTAATGTCTTTAAAAACCACTCTGGCCGAAACCGGTTTGGCTCAGTGGATAGAGCGTCGGCCTGCGGCCTGAGAGGTCCCAGGTTCGATTCCCGTCAAGGGCATGTACCTTGGTTGCAGGCACATCTCCAGTAAGGGATGTGCAGGAGGCAACTGGTCAATGATTCTCTCTCATCGATGTTTCTAGCTCTCTATCCCTCTCCCTTCCTCTCTGTAAAAAAAAAAATCAATAATATATATATATATTAAAAACATTCTGGGTTTTTCTCAGATTCCAGGAAGAAAGGGAAAAGTGGACACTTGTGTTTTAAATCCAAAGTGTATCACCATTGGGGAGCTATTTGGACAGCTGGATCCTAACACCATGGAATGGAGCGATGGGTTATTGTCAGCAACCATTCGGAACTATGTCTATTCCAACAGTTTGAAACCTTCCAAGAAAGACGGTGATCTCCCGCTAAAGTCAAGAATCTCCGATGTATCTAACGTAAGTGTACTAGGGAATGATTATTTTTATTGGACTATTGGGGATTATTTCGTTGTGCCTGAAGACTAATATTAAAGCATTGTTAAGTACGTACTAGGGTAAAAGTGAATATAAAAATTGTGATCGCCCTAGCTGGTGTGGCTCAGCAGATAGAGCATTGGCCTGCAGACCAAAGGGTCCTGGGTTCGATTCTGGTCAAGGGCACAAAACCTGGGTTGTAGGCTCCTCCCCCAGGACTCATGTGAGAGGCAACCAATCAATGTGTCTCTCTCACACTGAGATTTCTGTCTTTCCCTCTCTTTTCCACTCTCTCTAAAAATCAATGGAAAAATATCCTCAGGTGAGGACAAAAAAAAAATTATGGTCATTGTTTAAAAAGAGAAAAATTATGATCATTTATTTTTTTTAAAAAGCACAAAATATCCCATTCTGTTTGAAAATAGTAAACAATAAAATGAAATTCAAGATGCTCACTTTTGAAGGAACACAGTGGTGGACTAAGTGATGATCTGGTTATCACCAATATACCTTACAAATGATTGAAGGGTCAGGGGCTTGATTCCCGGTCAAGGGCAGGTGCCTGGGTGCGTGCAGGAGGCAACCAATTGATGTGAGTCTCTTTCTCTCCCTCCCTCCCCGCTTCTATCTCCACCTCCCTATCCCTCCCTCCCTCTCCCTTCTACTCTCTCTAAAAAAAAAAAAAAAAAAAAAAAAAAATCAGTGCAAAAATTCTCCTCTGGTGAGGATTAAAGATCAAAAGGCATATAATATTTGACTCCCATTTTTTAAAAATCCAGATACAGGAGGGCGTAGCGCCCAGCCATGGCTTGTGGGCAGGGACGCTGACCGCAGGCTTCTGTAATGAGAATAACAACTGGGAAGAGCGTTGGGCTTGCTTGCCTCCGTGCTGGGGCCGGGACTGGGAAGTGACTGTCGCCGTTGGCCGCATTGCACAGGCCCAGCGTCTGCTCTCCTCCTGCTCCCGCCGGCAGAGGAAGCCAGCCCACTCAGCCGGTGCCACAGTGCTCGCCCCTCTGGGGGGATAAACAATTAAGCCCCCGGGTAATTGGGAGTTAATATGGGCATCGAGCAAAAGAGCAGAATTCCTGAGGTTGGCGTGAGAACAGCTTGTGTTCCATTCACAGGGGTGTGGGGTGGGTGGGGAGGGAGTTACCACACACTGGGACTCCTGGGCTAAATTCCATCGGAATTGCCAAGGACGGGGGGTTAGAATCTGCGGGTCAGCAGACCCTGCAGGTGATCCTTGAACCTCGATGGTGAAGGAAGGACTAGGAACACGACACATCCAGGTGTCCACGTGGTGTTGGTAGAGATGGTGGAGGCTCAGGGACTCCTGCTCCCCCCCTCGTGCTTTGCTGCGTTCTTGGAATGTTATCTAACAAGACCCTACCATCTTTCGGGGTTGGCGGGTGGGACGGAAAGGAAAGAATGTTCTAGAAGAACAGGACCTGTGGTCCCAGACGTTACCGTCCCCCCCGCGGTGGAAGCGTGGGGGTCTTCTCAGCCCCGGAACCTTCTGCCTCTTCTGTGTTTATCGCAGAAGAAAGCGTATTGACACACAGTCCGTTCTCCTGGGGAAGTGTGGTCACGTGAAAATGTAAACACGATTGATGGCTTATTTCAGGTTTTCCAGCTCCACGCCGCTGCTATCGCAGACGTGGACGCCACCAGGTTTAAGAAAGAGATGGAGAAGGAGGTTCCAGTTACCGAAAGCGAGAGTAAGTGTCAAGATTCCGTTTCCTCTAGATGACGGATGAACGTAAGAAGGCAAGCAGACCCAGTCCTAAACTCCCTCATATATATATATATATATATATATTTTAAACATTTTTGATGCGTGCTCTTGTTCTTGCGCTGTTTCTTTCTTTCTTGTGTGCGCATCTGACATTTGTGTGATTTTTACCACGTTATCTTACCGCCCGTGCAGTTACCGTATTTTTCAGACCATAAGACGCACTTTTTCCCCCCCAGAAGTGGGGGGGGGGAAAGTCCCTGCGTCTTATGGTCCAAGTATAGCCTACACATATACTTTTAAAAAAAAGGTTTTTTACTTGCCCGGCTCTGTGTGGTCTCTGTGTGCTTGCCCGGCTCTAAAATGGTTCTAAATGCTGCTGTTTACTTTACAGGGTTGATTACATGTGTTTATGACTGTGCTGTTGGGTTTTAATGCACATAAAATATTTTAGGACACTATTTGTTTCAGAATCTTTTTTTCTTCATTTCCCTTCTCTAAAAACTGGTGCGTCTTATGGTCCGGAGCGTCTTATGGTCCGAAAAATACGGTATGTTCTACTAGTGGCCCGATGCGAGAATGGGCCTTGGTTCCTCCAGCACCACCTTGGTCTGGCCAGAGCAGCCTCTCTGCCTTCCCACGCTGCCCAGAGGCCCCCAAGCGGCTGGGGTGGTGCAGAACGCCCGCGTCCCCAGCCGCTGGGCACCCGCATATGCAAATTAACCCGCCGCCTCGGTTGGGTTGATTTGCATACTGGCTCCTGATTGGCTGGTGGGTGTCGCGAAGGTACGGTCAATTAGCGTGTTACTCTTTTATTAGGTAGATGGACACCAGGGCTTGCGTAGGGACCTTTTGGTTTACGCCACGTCGTTGTTACAGGTAGAAATACCCTGGGCGAGCAGCAGCCGGGCCACACTGCAAGAGAGTGCACCCAGGGGACCCCACGCAGGCTGTGCACGCCCGGGCCAGATCATGCCACCGAGGCATGGTCGTCTCGAGGGCATCTGACACCCAGCGGATGTCGCTGTGCTGTGTGTCAGGGGACAGAGATGTTCAGGACGGGGTCTGTCCCAGAGACGCTGTCAGTCCCTGCAGGACCCCGACCACCATTTCTGTGCCCCCTGGTGACGTCCGGACAACACCGCCTCAGGAGGGAACTTATGTTCCAGACATAGATAGGAACCTCAGCTGTAGCTACTGCTTCCTTAGAGCGTCTGTGTTTGTGCCTGTGACTCCTCGGTGTTCAGTCGGGGGGAGTCCAGGGATGGGGCGCAGTCAGTGTCCTTTGGAGGGTTTTTTTTTTTTTTTTAAGAAAACCCCCAAGGCAGGGGTCTCGGCCGAGAGAGCCCATCTGAGTGGGGACGCCGGGACCCTCCCTCTCTTCGCCTGTCCTGGGAGATTTTAACGTCTGTCAATTGGCTCAGACTCTGTCTCCACAGCGGTCCGCTCCTGCTTCCCCTCTCCTGACCTGTCAGTTTCCTAAAACGAGGAGGCGGGGGATGGGTCCGGAGGGTGGGAAGAGGAGGAAATGGTGACCCCTGGTGGAATGGTCTCAAGTCCGTCTATTGGGGTCTTTCTATTTCCCTTCCCTGCTTCCTTCCTACAGGAGGTCAAATGATGGAAAAGATAAACCCGTGGCTTCTTCTCTTACCCACATGGTAAGGGCCGTCTGGGAAAACTGAAGCAGTGTTCAAAGCATTTATCAATATGTGGTCTGAATATTCCTATCAATAGGCGCCATAGGCTACACATAAACACGTTCCCTCTAGCGTGTCTTTAGGGACCATTGTTCATCTTCGCGAGGAGGCCTTTTCTAAATAACACAGAACCGTGCGAGCCTGCAGGGAAAGGAGACGGGGATCTCCCTCCGTCCCACTCGGCGTGTTTCCTCTGCAGAGTTCGACTGGCAGTGGGTTGTCCTGGACGGTCCCGTGGACGCCTTTTGGGTGGAGAGCCTGAACTCAATGCTGGACAACACAAGGATGCTGTGCCTCGCCAACAGCGAGAGGATCGCCCTGACGAATAAGATCAGGGTGATCTTTGAAGTGGACAGCCTTGCCCACGCCAGTCCTGCCACTGTCAGCCGGTGTGCGATGGTTTATATGGTGAGTCTTCAAAGACAAATTTCTCTGTGTGTGTGTGTGTGTGTGTGTATAAATGTATATATTAGAGGCCCGGTGCATGAATTCGTGCATGGATGGAGTCCGACCAGCCTGGCCAGGAGGTGGGGACGTGAGCGGTTGGCTGGTTGAACTCCTGGTCAAGGGGATAATGTGCATATTAGCCTTTTATTCTATAGGATAGACACTGAGTGGCAGATGATTATGCATTCAGAGATCATCATCATCTGGCCACTCAGTGTATATCTGTATTGATTAATTGATTTCAGAAAGGAAGGGAGAGGGAGAGAGATGGAAACAGCAATGATGGGAATGTGAAACTCATTCCCAAGAGATGGCAAAGAGACAGAAGACAACCAGGGATAAGGGTCTCCTACAATGAAGTCCACCATTAGCCACTATTCACCCTTCTTCTGATCTGCGTGACTCAGTTGAATGAATGACCCCGAGGACAGTGCTGACAGGCAGGACTGTCATTAAGAATCACAAACAATTCAGAGAAGGGTAGTTCCTCGGGCTTTTTTGAATGGAGGATGGCTCTAAAGCAGGCGTCTTCTAACTACGGCCCGCGGGCCACATGCGGCCCGCAGAGGAGTCTGATCCGGCCCGCCAGGTTTTTTGGGCAGTGAGCACAGCCGAGGTGTTACAGTAGGAATTAGTTGTTCATATAGTCCGGGCCTCCAGCTCTCTGAGGGACCGTGATCTGGCCCCCACTTTAACCTATTCGGCATTGGTGAATCAGAGAGGTGGAAAGTAGGCGGACACGGTAATTTATCGATCTACCTAAAATTCTCTTGTGCCTTTTGCTGTCAGGACCCTGTTGATCTGGGATGGGAGCCTTACGTTACGTCATGGCTCGCGAAAACGTCTAAAATTATGAGCCCATCAGGAGTGGAATGTCTTGAGTTCTTGATTAATAACAGTGTCAAAGATGGACTGCAGTTTATAAAGAACCATCAGAAATTTCAGCCATTTCCTGTCCAGAACATCACCATCGTTACAACGCTCTGCAGAATTCTTGACGCCTTCTTTGAATTCATGAGCAAAAATGGAGGCTTTGGACAAGGTGAGTTTTTCCTCCCTCCATCACACTAATGAGGCCAGCTGTTAGCTAGAGTGTGCTGAGAAATAAACTCTCGCAGAAGGTATTCGAGATATAAATTGATTCAGCCTTTCTTAGTGATGCGTTTGATAACCTGGACTAAAAATAACCGCATATCCCAGTGTTCCTTATTCTGGGAATTTGTTATAAAGAAATAATCATAGAAGTGCTCAGATTTAGCACAAGGAGCTTAATATAGAACAGAATTATTTATAATCATAAAAACAGCAAGAATCTGGATTCCAACAATAGGAGAATGGATTAATAATGCAACAGTATCATGTTTCAGTGGAGAGACATGAAGGTAGTCTTAACATAAAAAGCAGAAGCAGGTTTGGCTCAGTGGATAGAGCATTGACCTGCAGACTGAAGGGTCCCAGGTTCGATTCCGGTCAAGGGCACATGCCTGGGTTGTGGGCTCAATCCCCAGTAGGGGATATGTTGGGGGCAGCCAATCAACGATTCTCTTTCATCATTGATGTTTCTATCTCCTCCCTTCCTCTCTGAAATCAGTAAAAATATAAACAAATAAATAGCATGAGGACCAAAGTCTCTAATTTTTTTAAATGTTCTATATTTAACCTTTAAATAGTAACATATTTATATTAAAGACCATAATGAAATGCATCCATATTCAGTGATGATTCTTTGTGGGTGTTGAAATTATGGGGGCTTGCGATTGTCTTCTGTATACTTTCTGTACTTCTGTCTGTTTCACAAGAACCCCGTGTGATTTTAACATAGAGAAACCAAACATGATTTGAAGCATAAGCTAAAAGGAAGGATGAGTAACCATTCATTCTTTGTGTTTCTCTGTGGAATGGAGGATTTAGACCGAAGACTGGGTGATGGGGTGGGGAGGGAGACAGTTACCATCTGCCTACAGTGCACGTGTTCGGTGTTTGTTTCGAGACATTTTGTATTGAAAAGCATACAGGTTTCTGTTTTAATGCTTTCCTTTATTAGAACCAATTTATTTATTTATTTATTTATTTATTTATTAAATATATTTTATTGATCTTTTACAGAGAGGAAGGGTGAGAGATAGAGAGCTAGAAACATTGATAAGAGAGAATCATTGACCAGCTGCCTCCTGCACACCCCCTACCGGGGACGTGCCCGCAACCAAGGTACATGCCCCTGACCGGAATCGAACCCGGGACCCTTCAGTCCGCAGGCCGATGCTCTATCCACTGAGCCAAGCCGGTTTTGGCCTGATGTTTTAAAGTCTTCATTTTGGAACAATCAAACTTAACTAAAATAAATCGCCAGAATAGAATAAAGAAAAGAGTGTTCAGACTTATGCTTCAAATAAAGAAGATTCAGACAATTTCGGATATATTCTCTGCTCCTCTTCTCTTGGAAAAGTCACCCCCACTCTGGCCAGGTAAGGTAACTCCTTAAGAAGCTGTAGATAAAGCACAGATGCTCTCCTCTGATGATTCATAAGCTAAACGGTGTCTCAAGGGAACTCTCATAATGAATCACCTAATTTTAAGTCTGTCGTTAACTGTGGGGAAATACTCCTTCCTTTTTAAGGTGAAGATGTGAAGGCGGTTTCATCTAAGAGAAGTTCTCTGCATTTAAAAGTTCCTGTCAAGTTCAAGAACGTGGACAAGAGGTCAGTTGCAAGCATTCAACAGACATGTTTTAGCACATACTACTTGCCAAACACTCCCATAGGCACAAAATTACTCGTCAACAAACCAATACTTTTATGATGTCATAACATCAAAATGCACTTAAAATGGATTTTTTTCCAGCTTAGAGATCATATCGTATATCTTATACAAGGTCACTAGATTTTTATGCTAAGGTATGTGGATACTATGAATACATTTGTGCAAACTCTGTACATACTTGAGGAAAGAAATAAACTTGACATGCACATAATTGATGAGTCTGCCCTTAATGAGCTGAGACACATTGAACTGGTTACTACATGTTTTTGAGCATGTACATTCTCGTTTTAAAAACTGGAATAACGTGATGTGTTAGATATGTAGGCCAGTATCTGGCACATAGTAAGGGCTCAATAAATCACAACTACCGAAATGATGACCTCTATAATTCTCCTGCCCTTGGTAGGACAGGAAAGTCATCCTGGAGGCCTTACCTGCATCTCACTGGGAATCCCTGAGGCACTCATGTCAGATTTGCTCTTACATGATAGAGCATTCTTAATATGGTTTTTACTCTGCCTGTCAACTCTGCCTTCACACTCATTTCCTGTGCATCTTGTTTACCAGTATTCTAGCCCAAACCTTTGCTATTTCTTGCCTGAACTGTTGTAATAGATGATGAATTAATTTCCCCAATTATTCCAGTCTTACCATGATAACCATATATTACCTTTAATTTGTATAAAGAGCAAGTAGCCATAAAGAAACATTTTATAAAATATTTATTAGAAGTAGCACACACAAATATCCATATACACATCATTTTGTTACAGAAAAAAACAACAACACACAGGCACATTAATTTATCTTTATGTTTATAATTTACAAATAATTGTATGATAATGCTAAATCCTGAACTGTTTTCAATGTCTTCAGTTCAGGCCCAAACCTTTCACCCAGTCCCATCTCCCTCAGCCCTTTCACTAAGGAAGTTCAGGGTCTCAGGGACCAGGATGACCTGGGTTGTCCCAACCCAGAGAGGACTGTGCCCGACGCACAGCACCCGGCTTCAGCCAGGTTGAACTAGGTTGACCCTGAGACTTGGTTAGTAGTGGGTGACTCGTCACTTGTCACTCACTGAAATGAAGAATTACCAGATCTCCTTTTAGAGATGATTAATTCTGAGCTCATACACTGACGTAAAATAACAGTGAATCCTGTACACTAACTAAGTGAACGCTGACTACAACCCTCTTACACACAAGAGAAATAGTAGCCGTGGATAATTTACAGGACTCACCAAAGGAAAACTACACACTGACTTTGATTTTTTATCTCAAGAGCTGATGGCCTTAAAAAAAAAAAAAAATACAGAACAAAATGTTTAGTCCACACTTACCTATTAAAATGTTTAATAATGAGACTTTGATATGGTTTTTGAAATAAAAGTGACTGAATGCCTCCTAAAAGAGTTAACCAGCATTTACCCACTCCAGTAATGAAAGTCCGTGGTATCTGGAGAAATATCCCGACAAGTTAACGACGATGATTCAGAAGCTTTTCGTGTTTGCATTTACCTGGGCATTTGGAGGCACTTTGAAACGTGAAGATGAGCATGAAGATGATATGCTCATGTACCCAAATTTTGAACCTGCTTCTCTTGCGAAAGTCACCTATGATTTTGACAATCTTGTCCACGAATTATTTGAAAGACCAGAAATAGGTGAGTTCTAGGAAAGAAAAGTCAAAGTTCTGCTTCCTTTAGGAGATACCTTTGAAATCCTTTAGGACTGGGACCATCTTTATTTTTTTATTTTTAAGTATATTTTATTGATCTTCCACAGAGAGGAAGGGAGAGGGATAGAGAGCTAGAAACGTCGATGAGAGAGAAACATGGACCAGCTGCCTCCTGCACATCTCCTACCGGGGATGTGCCCGCCACCAAGGCACATACCCTTGACCGGAATCGAACCTGGGACCCTTCAGGCCGCAGGCTGACGCTCTATCCACTGAGCCAAACCGGTTTCGGCTGGGACCATCTTTTAAAGTGTGGACGTTACAGGTAAATGAGGGTTAATAAATACACTCCAACACACTTTCTCTAATGATTCTCATCATGTATGTATTTCTCTCTCCCTCTCCCTTCCTCTCTGAAATCAATAATAAAATAAAATAAAGTTTTTTTAGAATTTCTTAAACAATTCAAAGGAATATATCAAATGTCTACACTGTTAGCTTCATATGGTGAAACCATGGCTAAATTTGTTTACTTTGTTTGTTCTGTATTTTCCAGAATCTATTAACAAAGTTAATTACTGTTATAATAGTGAAGTAAATGTAATTTGCAAATAAGTACCAGAATTTTCTCATGCACAACCAGTGCATTCCTGGTATTTGATATAATATGTAGAATTAAGCAGAACTTACAGGCAAGATTTTTCAAAGGCTCTCAGATCGTGATTCCCCTTGCTTTCTTGACACAAACAAGAGTCCAAAAGTTAACAAAACTTTGTCTTTAAATAATTAAAGATTAGAAAGAAAAAAAATAGGCTTATTTTACGTATTTGGATCTACAATGGGGGAATATTTCTTATTTCTGGTTCAACAACCACATCTTTCAAACAGAGGGCAGGTCCTGAGCGAAACATGCCATAAATGAGCCTCGTTGTTACTCGGACTTATTTACATTTTTCCTTATTTTCAAATGTAGGCCTTACCCTCCCAACTGGCGAGACGTCCATCTTTGGGTATTTCGTGGATCTGCAGCAATGCGAGTTCATTCGGTGGTCAGAATTGCTTCCGAATGTTCAGACACTGATTCAGAGAGGTAAGTCCTCACAGGAACTGGGCTCTGATTGCTCTAGAATATTAGGAATACTTCATCTGTAAAAGGACTGTAGTTACATCAGCAACTTTGAGGCCTGATGGATTATTGCAAGTTTGTGCAGGAACCAATAATTTATAATTAATAATACAAGAACAAATTATGTTTTGTGTGCTCACAACTGAATACCTACATTTTGCTCCACTCTGTATGTTTACAAAACATACCTTTTATTTAAATAAATCATTTTTAAAATATATTTTATTGATTTTTCACAGAGAGGAAGAGAGAAGGATAGAGAGTTAGAAACATCGATGAGAGAGAATCATCGATCAGCTGCCTCCTGCACACCCCCCACTAAGGATGTGCCCGCAACCAAGGTACATGCCCTTGACCGGAATCGAGCCTGGGACCTTTCAGTCCGCAGACTGACGCTCTATCCACTGAGCCAAACCGGTTTCGGCTTAAATAAACCTTTGACTATTGGTTTCAGAGAACGTTGGGATGTATTCGATTAAGTTGGTTGTACATAGTTCATGGAAAGTCTCACTAGTGGGAATATTCTTTTACTTAGCTGTGACTAATGAAACAAAAACAGGAAAATCATATGTGCATACCGCGGTTGACTATAAAGGGAACTTTAAATTAGAACAATCAGCTTGACAGTTATCCATATATGCTATATTATTTTTGTTCTCAACCTTCTATAAATGCAAGAAAAAATATATAGAAAATTGTGGTATTTTGAAAGCGTGGTTGAAGGTTGAGTCAGGAATCTAATGGTCAAGCTTCCCGTAGGCCTCTTGCCAATACAAGGAATTCAGCATGCAAATTGAATCGATTTGCTTTGAGGTTGGGTTTCACTCATCAAAGAATTTCATAGTTTGGCGATAAGAATTTTTTAGAGAAAAACAACCGGGGCTGTCAAGTCCTAAAGCATCCAGAAAGTTCTAACTCCAAATTAACGTCAGTTGGAAATAGCAGGGTTCTATTCTACAATATCTGTCCCAGTAAGCATTAGTGGCTGATTATATTTATTTACAACCTGTGAGTTGTTTATCACATGTTAGTGCTAACATCGGCTCATTTTGATCTTAGTTTTTACTACTACCCTGTTTTTCCCGAAAATAAGACAGTGTCTTATATTAATTTTTTTCTCCCAAAGTTGCGCTAGGTCTTATTTTCAGGGGATGTCTTATCTTTCCATGCACTAGGTCTTATTTTCAGGGGATGTCTTATCTTTCCATGCACTAGGTCTTATTTTCAGGGGATGTCTTATCTTTCCATGCACTAGGTCTTATTTTCGGAGGATGTCTTATTTTCGGGGAAACACAGTACCTAGAAAAAACATAACTGGGTATCGATGCACGTGACACAGAATTTTAGGGTACCAACGTCTCTGGGAAGGCGTTGGTCTTTTCTAGAGTGTGGGGGATATTACAGATACGATTGCAGACGACCTGAAACTTTCTTCCTAAACGCTCACTTAGGGACGTCCAGACTGGTGGACCCGCAGGGCCACGGCGAGAGCATCCTGAAGATCACGGAATTCGGGGAGAGCGTGAATCACACCGCCACCCGAGACACCTCGTGCCTGACCTTCCTCGCCAGCCTCCTCTTGAAGAACTTCTGCCCTGTCCTTCTCACAGGTGCGGGGGAGCTGCAAAAGGAGGAGAACTGCAGAGTGAGGGAGAGGCTTTAGCGATTCTTGTCTGCCCGTCTGATAAGTCTCTGAGCTGTTCCCACCTACAGTATCCCAATCACACCCCCACGTTTGCCCGTCCAGGACATCCTAGGTCTCTCTCCCCTTCCCATCAAGTCCCAGGAGAACGTGGGCTCAAGGGTGGGTGGAGCCTCCACCGCCTGAGGGCTGAGGTCCTTCGAGGGCCACTGACCTTACTTAGTAAGGTTGGCCGGTTTATTAATTCTATGCGCATAACTGCACGCGAAGAAAAGTTAAAAATAAATTGCCCCATTTCCAACAATGTCGCCCCCATACTTCCTCAAGCCAGCGCTCACGTTTCAGCGCAGCTCCTGCTCTTGCTTCATATTTGCCTCAACCCGTTCATTCACCTCTTCCAGCTCTCCAAGGTCTGTTGTCGTTCACGAGAGGCAGTGAGATCGCTTTCCCGGTTCTATACTCAGAGGACTCGGGCAACAGAAATGGGGAAGCTCAGATAACGGGCCGTGGCCTCCCGTGTGGACTGAGGAAATGCTTTTCCTTACTCTTAAAAAAAAAAAAATATATATATATATATATATATATATATATATATATATATATATATATATATATTATTATATTGATTGATTTTTTACAGAGAGGAAGGGAGAGGGATAGAAAGTTAGAAACAATGATGAGAGAGAAACATCCATCAGCTGCCTCCTGCACACCCCCCACTGGGGATGTGCCCGCAACCAAGGTACATGCCCTTGACCGGAATCGAACCTGGGACCCCTCAGTCAGCAGGCCGATGCTCTATCCACTGCGCCACACCGGTTTCGGCTTACTTACTCTTTGGTGAATTGTAAAGCCCTGGCTTCCCAGGCTGCTGCCATGAGGGGTCTATTCCAATTCCCACCCATCCCCCCACCCAGGTCGTGTTGCTAAAAACATTCAGGGAAATGAATTGCATGTAGTAGTTGTGCAAAAAATATTGGTGATCAGTGTAAATGCATATTATAGAAAAATAACGGTTAACTCCTAGTATATTCTTTTATAAGAGATATAAATTAAATAAATACTTGGAGAGGTTTTTATAGAAAGTTCTCGGTTTAACCACTCTTCACAATTTTGTTTAAAGGGAAGAGCAAACACATACTTTTCATGCAATTTTCAAACGAAAGAAAACGTTATTGGTTTGTTTTACTATTATATGTTAGCATCTGTTCGTCTTCTTGCATGTAAATCTAACCTACTGTATTTTTTTTTCCTCCCCCATTAGGAGAGTTTGGTGTTGGAAAAACCAGTGCCATCAGTCGGATGCTTACAAAGCTAGAGAGCTCAGGAGGATTCCATGTGAAACCAGGGTCAATTTTAGGAGAAGTCCTATTATATAACGAGATTAAAAAGTCAAGGTAGTATCCATTAAGCTCCACATCTGATTGGTCTGGTTAAAAAAGTTTGTTTTACTATCTACCTATGCCTTATTTTATTTTTAAAAATATATATTTTATTGATTTTTCACAGAGAGGAAGAGAGAGGGGTAGAGAGTTAGAAACACTGATGAGAGAGAATCATCGACCAGCTGCCTCCTGCACGCCCCCCACTGGGGATATGCCCGCAACCAAGGTACATGCCCTTGACCGGAATCGAACCCGGGACCTTCCAGTCCGCAGGCCGATGCTCTATCCACTGAGCCAAACCGGTTTCGGCTAACTATGCCTTATTTTAAAAAAGCAAATGTGTTACGTAAAATGCAGAAATAGTCAGAAGAGGAGTTCAGAAAATCCTCACTTTTCCATGGTATTCACTAAATTAATTCCTTTAGATGAGAACTTCTGATATTTATTTTTAATATAACTAAATTAAAAAATTTTTTTAAATATATTTTATTGATTTTTCACAGAGAGGAAGAGAGAGAGATAGAGAGTTAGAAACATCGATGAGAGAGAATCATCGACCAGCTGCCTCCTGCATGCCCCCCACTGGGGATATGCCCGCAACCAAGGTACATGCCCTTGACCGGAATCGAACCCGGGACCTTCCAGTCCGCAGGCCGATGCTCTATCCACTGAGCCAAACCGGTCCCGGCCTAAATTTAAAATTTTAATGCTTTGACCTAACCAAGTGAAGCTAAGGACTATTTTCCGTCCTGGAAAAATGTACCAAAATATACAAACATAGTGCTGCATTTTTTTTTAAAGGGGCAGTGACTTCACTTTCTGGAGAAAGTGCCAATAGGTTGGCATCCTAGGGATTTTCCATTTTTGTTTTATATATATATATATCTTTATTCATTCTGGAGAGGAAGGGAGAGGGGGGACAGAAACATGAATGATGAGAGAGGATCATGGATCATGGATCGGCTGCCTCCTGCACACCCCTTACTAGGGATGGAGCCCAGAACCCGGGCATGTGCCCCAACCAGGAATCAACCATGACCTCCTGGTTCCTAGGTCGACGCTCCACCACTGAGCCACACTGGCCAGGCCCGTTTGTTTTTTTAGAGTAAGCCCATATTTTGTCACATTTGGGTTTTAATTCTAAGGGTGACACTAACTTTAGCTGTGAAAGGGAGCAGCAAAAATAAAGAGTCTCCTTGGAGGAGGCGGAAGTAAAAGCAGCCACACGCTGAAACGCTCCTTGTCTGCTCCCGACAGCCTGAGGCAGAACATCAGTGCCCTGCTCTCCGATTCCCACAAGACGGAGGCCGGGAGCCAAGGTGGGTACCGACAGGCGTGTTTCCCGAGTGAAAGGAGGGGGGTTGTTTGGAAAACATCTCCCCGTGGGCACATCTTCTCTCCGCAGCTTGTCCGCAGAGCCATTTTTAAAAAAAAAAAAAAAAATATATATATATATATATATATATATATATATATATATATATATATATATATATATTTTATTGATTTTTTTACAGAGAGGAAGAGAGAGGGATAGAGAGCTAGAAACATTGGTGAGAGAGAAGCATCGACCAGCTGCCTCCTGCACACCCCCTGTTGGGGATGTGCCCGCCACCAAGGTACATGCCCTTGACCGGAATCGAACCTGGGACCCTTCAGTGCGCAGGCGGACGCTCTATCCACTGAGCCACACCGGTTTCGGCCACAGAGTCATTTCTCTAACCGGACAGCAGAACTGTGCAGTGCTGGCATGTTTGTACTTTTTTTTAACGCCTTAGGAGCAAGAAGCGTGTGGTGAGAGTGTTCTGAACGTGTCTCCCTGCCTGTGCTTGGCGTCGCAGATACGATTGCCAAGACGCCGGAGAAGGTGGACGAAGGCTCGTTTAAAAACAACCTCAGAGGCGTCATCACCTCCACCATCAACTTCGGCGTCAGGACGACGGCCGCCAGGACCAGGGAGCTGGTCCTGAAGAAGTTAAGACGGAGAAACAAGGACACGCTCGGAGCCCCCAAAAACAACAAGGTAACGCGCCCCCCCCCCCGGGGGGGTGGGCGACCGGCGGACCGTACTCACCGGGCCTCCGGTGGGAACTGAGTGCCTATGCACCCAGCACAGGGCCTCACCGACTCGGTGAGCACATGCTAAGGGCATAGCAGTCACATCGGTTCCTCCGTCAAAGCCACCGTCGGACTACGTCAGCCAGCACCCACTGCCTTTCTGACTGCTGCCAGTGGCGGTCTATAGGAAGGGAGTACAGTTTCTGCTGTTTTTTGTTGTTGTTGTTGTTCTTTTTCTTGTTTGTGTTTGTTTGTTTGTTTTTTAGTTTCTGCTGTTTTTGGAAGCCACATCACAATAGAATCTGGTCTGCTGCCTTTTAATAGACGAGGGCGTGTCATTCCTTGTGATTTTGTTCTCATACCATAGCGTAATCAATACCCCTAATTCATACGTTAAAGAAAAGAGATCCTGCCGGGACCTGTTTGGCTCAGTGGATAGAGTGTCGGCCCACAGAATGAAAGGTCCCGGGTTCGATTCCGGTCAAGGGCATGTACCTTGGTTGCGGGCGCATCCCCGTGGAGGGTGTGCAAGAGGCAGCTGATCGATGATTCTCTCTCATTGATGTTTCTAGCTCTCTATCCCTCTCTCTTCCTCTCTGTGAAAAATCAATAAAATATATATATATTTTTTTTAAATGATCCTAATCAATGCATTTTAAAACCTTTGTCTTCCTCCAGATTGTAGTATTCATTGATGACCTGAATATGCCAGAAGCGGATAAGTACGGGGCACAGCCACCCCTGGAATTAATCAGACAATTGCTGGAGCTGGGAGGAGTTTATGACACTGAAAAAATTGCGTGGAAGGTAAAGTTCATGTTTGGTACTGTTGGAATGTGGGGTTCTGGGTGCAGAACTTTTTCTTCTTGTGGGTCCTTGTCCGACGAAGGGTAAATCCATGGCCTAACAGATTTCTTTAAGAAGAACGTAGAAGCCGAAACCGGTTTGGCTCAGTGGGAGAGCCTCGGTCTGCGGACTGAAGGGTCCCAGGTTCGATTCCCGTCAGGGGCATTTACGTTCATTGCGGGCACATCCCCGGTAGGGGGTGTGCAAGAGGCAGCTGGTCGATGTTTCTCTCTCATGGACGTTGCTAACTCTCTATCTCTCTCCCTTCCTCCTCTCTGTAAAATATCAATAAAATATATATATTTTTTTTAAAGAAGAAGAACGCCCCAAAGTGGGAAACGCCTGCTTTCTCTTTCTCTAATGGGAAGAAAAAAAAAAAAAATCCAAATCCGAAAAAAATCTGTAATCTAAAAAAATCTGTCTCGTGTTCCTTTGTCTCCAGCTCATACATGAGCTGTGGGTCTTTGTTCGGCCCTGGCCCTTCCTGACTGGATCCTTCTTAATTTAGCGCTGTGCTTTCCTCATTGGCCCATTTTGCTACATAGAATCAGATCCAAAGGCCGAAGCCCACACGGTCCCCTCTTCCCCCTCTTTCTCTCCCCTTATTTCCCAGCGTCCCTCTGTCCTCTGCGAAAAAATGTGTCTCCTGTGACTTTTCTTTATCCTCTGTGACTCTAGAGTAGGGGTGTCGAACTCAATCAGAGAAGGGGCCAAAATCTAAAATCCAGCCTAAATCGCGGGCCGAATGGTTTACTGAACAGTCATAAACTGTCATTGTGATGGAAACGCAGCGGAGTGCAGTGATGACAGCGCGGTGCGGGCCACATTGCAAGGCCTGGCGGGACGGATTTGGCCCGCGGGCCTTGTGTTTGACACATGTGCTCTAGAGGATAGAGTGAGTCACAGAGGATCCAGAGGGACAGAGAAACACCCATCAGCTGCCTCCTGCCCACCCTCCTCCCGGGGATGTGCCCGCAAACCAAGGCGCATGCCCTTGACCGGAGTCGGACCCCGGCCCCTCCCGTCCGCAGGCCGACGCCCAATCCGCGGAGCCTTCTCGGGTGCGTTTGAGGGAGGGAGGTGGGAGCACGGGTCGCCGTCCACGGATCCGTGTGGCCCCCCCTCTCCGTCCTCTCTCCCCACAGAGCATCCAGGACCTCTCGCTGGTGGCGGCCTGCATCCCCCCGGCGGGCCGGGGCGACGTCAGCCCGCGGGTCCTCAGGCACTTCGCCGTCCTGGTGCTGCCCCATCCTCCGCAGAGCGCCCTGCTCACCATCTTCCAGGTACCGGGGCCGGCCCCGCGGGGCCCCCCACCCCCCGAAAAAGGGGCGCACCCCCCGCCGAGAGGGCGTCACCGGGAACCTCGGGTCTCTTCATAAGCCGAAGCCGGTGCGGCTCAGTGGCTAGAGCGTCGGCCTGCGGACTGAAAGGTCCCGGGTTCGATTCCGGTTAAGGGCACGTGCCTTGGTGGCGGGCACATCCCCAGTAGGGGGCGTGCAGGAGGCAGCTGCTCGATGATTCTCTCTCTCATCGATGTTTCCAGCTCTCTCTCCCTCTTCCTTCCTCTCTGTAAAAAAAAATCAATAAAAATATATCTTAAAGAAAGAAAGAGAAAACGGACCGTCCATGGGGGCCCACACCTCTCCTTGCCCGGTAGGAATGGGCGCGCGGAACAGTCTGCACTTAAAGTTCCCGGCAAACCGAAGTGTCCCACTTCTCTCCCAGGTTCATCTGGGAATGTACTTCTCCATCCATAACTTCATGCCTGACGTCCAGAGGAACAAGGACCAGCTCATCTCTTGCTCTCTCGCCATCTACTACCAAGTGTGCCAGAACATGCTGACCACGCCGTCCAAGTGTCACTACATGTTTAATCTCCGGGACATCTTCAAGGTTGGTTTTAAAGCTTGTTCTCTGGCTTGCTCTTCACGTTTAAGATGGGGACGTGTCGTTTTCACCGAGAGGACTCTCTCTCTCTCTCTCTCTCTCGTCTCTCCGTCTCTCACTCTCTCTCTATCCCTTCCCTCCCTCCCTCCTCCTCCTCCTTCTCCTCCTCTCCATTTTTCTTATTGATATTTTCAACATTACATTGTCAAAAGGGGCGAAAAAGGGAATGGATTAGTGTTGCTGTGTATTAGCAGCTTACGCATGAACAAGTTACAAAGAATCATTAAAAATAATTCCATGCAGCCCTAACCGGTGTGGCTCAGTGGATATAGAGCGCCGGCCTGCGGACTGAAGGGTCCCGGGTTCGATTCCGGTCAAGGGCGTGTGCCTTGGTTGCGGGCACATCTCCCAGTAGGGGGTGTGCAGGAGGCAGCGGATCAATGATTCTCTCGCATCCACGTTTCTAACTCTCTATCCCTCTCTGTAAAAACAAAACAAAACAAAACAAAAAAACATGAAAATATATGATGATGATAATAATTCCACGCAGAGAATTCAATGATAGAACCACTCGGGGCCGTTAGACTGTTGGCTAAGACCCTCCGCAGGAGAAAGAGATGACAAGGGGTTGCGCCCTGGCTGGTGTGGCCCAGTGGGTAGAGCCTCAGCCCGAGGACTGCGGGGTCCCGGGTTCGATTCCGGTCCGGGGCCCATGCCCGGGTGGCGGGCTCGCTCCCCAGGGCGCAGGGGGTTTTTACCCCTGTCCTCACGGCTGACGCTAACGGGTGCTGTGTGTGTGTGTCCGTGTCCCAGCTCCTCCTGGGGCTGCTGCAGGCCGACAAGGCCGTCGTCGACTCCAAGGAGATGGCCGCCCTGTTCTTCGCCCACGAGGCCGCGCGGGTGTTCCACGACCGCCTCATCGAGCCCGCGGAGCGGGAGCTGTTCTACCAGCTCCTCGCCAGGGAGCTGGAGAGCCACTTCCAGGTGCGGGGGCGCCGGGCGGGCGGGCGGGCGGGCGCCGGGCGGCCTGCGAACGTGGAAACCCCAGGGGCTCTCGCCGCGCGCCGGGCCTCCAAACGCGGGACGTGGCGCCGGCCTGTGTGGTTCAGTGGGTAGAGCGCGGGCCTGCAGGCCGAGGGGTCCCGGGTCCGATTCCGGTCAAGGGCATGGACGTTGATTGCAGGCTCGATTCCTGCCCTGGGAGGCAACCAGTCGATGTCTCTGTCTCTTTGTCCCTCCCTCTCCCTCTCTCTCCCTCCCTCTCCCTCCCTCTACCTCCCTCTCTCCCTCTCCCTCCCTCCCTCCCTCTCTCCCCCCTCTCCTTTCTCTTTCTTCCTCTCTCTCTCCCCCCTCTCTTCCCCTCTCCTTTCTCTTTCTTCCTCTCTCTCTCTCTCTCTCTCTCTCTCTCTCTCCTCTCTCTCTCTCTCCCCCCTTTCCCCCTCTCTCCTTTCTCTTTCTTCCTCTCCCCCCCCTCCTCTCTCTCTCCCGCTCTCTCTCTCTTTCCCCCTCTATCCCCCCCTCTCTCTTTCTTCCTCTCTCTCTCTCTCTTCCTCCCTCTCTCCCTCTTTCCCTCTCTCTCTCTCCCCCCCTCCTTTCTCTTTCTTCCTCTCCCCCCCTCCTCTCTCTCTCCCGCTCTTTCTCTCTCCCCCTCTTTCTCCCTCTCTCTCTTTCTTTCTCTCTCCTCTCCTCCCCCCCCCCCCCTTTCTCTAAAAACCAATGGGAAAACATCCCCGGGTGAGGATTACCAAAAACCCACACAAAACAAGGCATTTCCCCACCAGGGGTTCCTGCCCACGCACCCCGAGGACCCCCAGATAAAGCTGTATTTCCGCGTGTCCCCCTCTTGGTGGCCTCTGCATCTCGCTGTGTGTGTCCTAAAGCGTGACTCCGAGGGACCTGGGGGTTTCCCTGCCAGCGCGGCCCCCGGGGCCACCCCGGGGCCTGGGCCCAGCGCGGGGGGCGCGGGGGGACGCCGGGCCTGGGCGCCGGCTGCGGCGGGAGACGCGGGCGGTGACGGGTGCCCCCGGGTCCCCCCTCCGGCAGGTGCAGTGGACCAAGGAGTCCATGATGAGCGACTCCACCGTGTTCGTGGACTTCCTGCGGGTCAACAAGACGCTGCGGAAGAAGCTGTACCAGAACACCAACGACTTCGCCAAGCTGGCCCGCGTGCTCGGCGCCTTCCAGGCCCGGATCCGGGCCACCTCGGAGGTAAAGGCGTGAAATAGCGGAAATGGTACACGTGTGTGTGTGTGTGTGTGTGTGTGTGTGTGTCCGTCCATATAGGCACACACATACGTGGATGTGGAATGTACAATAATATCTTTTTTTTTAAATGTATATTTTATTGATTTTGTACAGAGAGGAAAAGAGAGGGATAGAGAGTTAGGAACATCGATGAGAGAGAATCATTGATCAGCTGCCTCCTGCACATCCCCCACTGGGGATGTGCCCACAACCAAGGTACATGCCCTTGACCGGAATTGAACCCGGGACCTTTCAGTTCCCGAGCCGATTCTCTATCCATTGAGCCAAAACGGTTTCGGCATGGAATGTAATATCTTTAAGGTGTGTGTGTGTGTGTGTGTGTGTGTGTGTATGTGAACA